AAAATATATAATGATGTAAAGGAAATTTTGGTACTAGAACATAAAAGTATTCATAATTATACTTTAAAATACTGCTGTATGTTTTTCAAGTATCAGAAGTGATGAAATAATATAAGAGATTTTATTCAATTTTTGGGGAGTGGGAGCTTGACATGAAAGGATATATTTTATTTATTTTATGATTAAAGAAGACTGTTTTTGTATTTTTGAAAATGTTTGGCAGAATAAGGGTTTAATTTTAAATATTTCCTTGGTATGTTAATATTTTCTGAAATTATATAAATGGACTACTGTTAACCTTTACATTAACAACTGAAATTCTGTAAAAGAATATTGTTTTTGAGTATTTGAAAAATAGAGCAACTTCTAATGTCTTTTAAAAAGGTATGTGAAGACACTTTGTTACTAGTAGTAATGTTCCGGTTAAGGTTTTATGCCTTTAATTTTTCTGCATGCAATAGTCTAAAATTATCAACAATTAAAATTTGCTTAAGTTCCACTAAATCACACCGCCATTTGTTTACACGTGAAACATAGAAGCACAGTGAATTAAATCGGTTTCTGCACCATTGTTGGACTCTTTTTGCCAAGTAGAGCCAAAAAAATCTGTCTTTTTGCCTAATTTTAATTAATTTAAACTCTAATTGTAAAAATAAATAAATAAAAATAAAAAAAATTAAGGGTTTTGTTTTAGGTTTTTCTGTATTTATCCTTGCTGTGAAATGAGAACTGAACTGATTGAATGAGAAATATATCTCTAATGAAATTTGGGGAAATAAGTTTAAATGATATGCAACAAAAAGGATGCATACTTTATTAATAGGCCATACAAGGAAGTTATGTGGTGTCCACTTCAGAATTTTGTGAATTGTTAATCTGTTCACATTTCAAGTTAATTTTTAAAATTATTTTTCTGAGAGATATTCTTTAATCATGATTTTTAGAAATGACTGCCACAAGATATATGCGTATGCCCTTTATAATTTTCTATTATTTTAATAATACATAAATACTCCGCCAATAATTATTAATTTACCAAATTTTTCATACAAATTTTAAAAATATATATGTATTCAGTGAACTGCAGTAATTATACTCCGACTTGTTTAAAATTTAATTTAATATATTTTTCTTGCTTTAATCACGTATTAAATTCAAATTTTTAATCTTTGGCATGGCAAGGCAAGCGATCTTAAGTATTATATTTTATTTGTAAATGAATGAAATTTTTAAGAAGTTTTATTTCTAGATAATCGTTGAAATATTTTTCTGGCATCTTAATTATTTTTAAAATATGTAGTTTCAAGTTGTTTTAGCAGAGGAAAGGCACAACTTACATAGGTATGGTAAACTAACATACTAGTTTTTCTACCGTAATATGCTGCACTCTGTTAGAGAAAATAAGAACCTTTTCTGCTGTGTGCCGTAACTGGAGTTAACATAGTAGAAATAGGTTCCCAGTTTGCATTGTCATGTAGAAAGGTTTTTATTCTGCTATCTTCAAGACCTTATTGTTGCAAGAAATCACAGGTAAGAAATTTATTTCACTATAGTCTTTTGTTGCTGAAATACTGGACTTCTCAAATCACTATAGTAATTTTTAATTAATTGCTAATCGTTGCTAGTGGAATAATAGTAGGAGTATAGAATTGTAATGTTCTATAAACCAACACTCACAGGTGTCTGTAAACTGACATACCTGAGTATGCTGCTTATAAGCAGGCTATCATTCCATCAGAGTAATAAAGAAAGGATCTACACAGAACACATTGCAACTTGCTGTTAGAGATAACATCAAGCATTCTTTCAGTAACATTATGGCAGGAAAATCTTGGATTCACTTAGAGACATTTAGAGTTACCTAAATGCGAATTGACAGAAACTTCTTTTGCAAGGAAAGAGGTCTTCAAGAATTCTGTTGACAGGTTTCTTGAGTTAACTATATTAGTTTATTAAATCCATCTATTGAATTTACAACATAAGAACAGGGTTGACAATTGTTTAAAGTTCTGCAAGTTATTGGAAGGAAAGGGATGCAACAAATTGATGTTATTTCATCAGTGGAAAGAGGATTTTTGACAGCAGTCATTTGTGCATTGAATACCACTTAAGATTTCATACCACTTTCCCATATTTTCTAGAAAATACATATCACAACTGATAATGAGAAGGATTGCTGCTGATTTGGTTGGTATTGCCCATACATCAGGTTGAGTACATTTTCAAACCACTGGCTCCAGCATTTCATTAAGGAAACGAAACCAAACTCATAGGATACTGTTCTGCTCCTGTTGGATGAGCATTTTTTCCATATCAAGGATTTAAAACTATCAATTTGTCTTGGGAAAATTTTGCCAAAATAACTTCCTTTCTTACACTTACCAAACATATGCTACAACTCATAAATAAAAAAAAACCTTCATGGCGACAATGCAATCAAAAGGAGAACCAGCAACTCGGCATAACATTATGGAATTACTTGGTCAAGCTTACATCAAATCCAGACAGCAGAAATTGCTATAAATGCTTTCAGGACAACTGGGTTATATCTACTGAATCATGCAGTGTTTTTAGATTCAGAATTCATAGCTGCTCAAGAAGATGCTGACAATCAAGATATCCCTGATAATGCACCTCTAATTGCTACCAACGAAGGTAAACCTTTATTTTTCAAGAGCCTTTCCAAGACATAAAGCTTCAAAATCAAGCATCATTACAAAATCATTATAAAAGCGGAATTAATTGCTGCCATGCACAAAAAGAAGGAGGGAGAAGACAGAATAGGTCACAACTTTGAGGTAACATGAAAAGAATCTTTGAAGGCAGAAGGACCTACAGTTAAATCACACCCCAGGACAATACAGTAGTTTTTTTTAAAAAAAAGGGGGAAGGAGGGTTGATCATTAGATGAAGATTTTGTTGCGAATGCACCAAGAAGTGATGATGGAAAGTGCATTTTTTGGAAACATTTTATTCACAACACTGCAAGGAGACGAATGGGTTCAGTGCATATCTTGTGAGGACTGGGCACACACAGAAGGTGCCGAAGAAGACATTTATGTTAGTGATTATTGTTAGCAGATCAAGTTTAACTATTGTAAATTTTCTTTTTCATAATTTTGTTAATTTTTTGTGAATATTCCCATTATTATTATAATAAAAACTATAGGCAATATGACAAATGCAATTTTTGAAATATAAATGTGATTGTTGATGAACAATTTTATGTAATTATAAGTTAATAAAGGCATGGTTTTATGCTCTGGCTGAATCTGAAAAATTTTGATTGACAATTTATTGGGAATTCTTGACAAGGCAATTACAGGACTCAAAAAATAAAACTTTGTATCTGAATAAGAAATTATGTCTATCTATAGAATTAAAAAATTTAGCATTATAAGTGAAGCAACATAAACAACTTACATTAATAGAAATGTTTAATAAAGCAAACAAATAAATATTGAGCACTTTTGTAAATTTTAATTCCCTTAAAGTCATAAATGCTTTATTATTTCACAAACCACTATAAACTTGGAATTGACAAAGTCCCGATTTCTGACTTTGTACTGTATATATCCTAAATTACACTATATAAAACTGTTCTCCTGCCTTTTTTTTTTTTTTTTTTTAGAGAGTGAATGATGAGAGTAGTCCCCCCCTATTCACACTGTGTATAAAGGAAGAATGTTTAATGAAATAAAGCCATTTGTAGCCAGTCCTTTTTGAGCACAGTGAACATATATATGATCAGAACTGTGAGTAAATTAAAGCATTTGCTCAAATAAGCAAACACTTGGAAATATTTTATGTAGATTAGTTTGATTCATATATAAATTATACTCACATAAATTTCATTCAAGAGCATATGACTTATACATTAAGAGAAATATATTTTGGTATTAATAATTATCTATGGACACAGTCTGAAAATGAATTTAAACTACTATAACATTTGTGAACAAGATTTTATTCTTGATTCATGCACACAACATCACAAGTTAAGAAGAGAGCAGCAAGCATTCCAATATGTCTTAGAACAAACACATTTTAATTATACAAGTATTGTATTTGCTGAAAAATAGCTGCTCACATTGATGTTAAGGCTCTGGCACCCCATATCTGCATTGGTTTTTGTCTTTTTTTTTACATCATATATATACATATATAATAATGCTTTCATGCAACTAAGAAGGCTAGAATTTGCAGCACACATTACGTAGATTACAAGGTAATGATATATGACAAAAATGTAATCAAATTTCATTCCATATCAGCTGTGCAAAGCAGTGTGAAATGGTGCTGCACCAATACTGATTTTGAGAATTTTTTTTTTTTTTTTTTTTTTTGCAAAGTATGCCAGTTATGGAATTATGTGTTATGAAATTATATTTTAAACTCCTTTATATATCATTATAAAGAAAACATCCAATATTAAAATATTTTTCAAAAATTTCTATGATAAAATGTACTTTAAATTTTAGAATAAAATGAAGCAAATATCTTATATTAAAAATTTATTACTAAAGAAGCTGGTATGAAAAATGTCACAGACATTAAAAATGTATTCTATGTTAAACTGTGCTTCTTTAAATGACTCAAGTTTTATAATTAATATATCAGCCATGAGCAAAATATGTCATATTGCTCAGTATGTTTATAAAGCATTTGTTTTTTCAATAAAAAGGTTCAAATGTAATGAAAAATTTTAAAAAGCCCACATAAAACTAAACACATCTGCCATTATAACCACAGTATTTACATAGTTTAAAACTTCATACTTATCTATGAAAATGTTCATACATTAAATACAATGTAAAACAGACAAAATGAAGAAATAGAAAATATTATAATTACATCAAATGATGGAAATTATAAAAAATGTTTCAAGATAATACCTTAAGAAAATAAAGACAACAACAAAACAGCAATAGAATTGTGTGTGTATATATTTATATATACACACACAATTTAAAAAAGAATTATGATTACAACTGTAAAATAAATTTACAACTGTAAAACAAAGAAAAATGAATGACATGAAACAATATGAAGAAAATAAATGATAATGGTCCATCCAGTTACAACACTATGGAAAGACTGGAAAAGAAATACACTTGCCAGAAATTAATAACAATAGCAAAATTCACAATATGTTGATCTTCTGTTGACTTGGTGGCAAGATGTATGATATTTTTCTAATACAAATACACCATCAAGAAAGCTAACAAAAAACAATAACAAAGTTTTCTTTAAAAAATATTATGGAATGACTTGTGAACATACAACAGGAATGAATAATCTCAAAAGTGATGGCTCAGTATGAACCACACAACTCAACTCACTAAACATATGTTGATGCAAATGACTTTTTACACTTATAATAAAGAAATAATACACATACGGTTGACCCCTCTTCCCTGATATTTGAATTTTGTAGTAAATAAAATTATATTTTTCAGCAATGTAATTATATTCTTCACAAAATAATTTTTTTGTGTTAAACCCACTGAAGTACGACAAGCGAAAAAATGGCAATATGATGGCCATTTGCTACAACTTCCAACCTCGTTGTAACTTTATGTAGTAGAAATGGTTGAAAATCTATGACAAAAGGAGGCCCAAAGACATACATACAGGCAATTACAGGAGACAAAACTGCCAAAAAATTCAGTCCTTTGAACACAGTTTTCAAAAATCAGATATATATATATATATTTCTTTTTTGGTACGAGAGAAGCAGCTGAATGTAAATGTTTTTGTACCAACTGTCAAACAACAATAATAAAGTTCCAGTTCTCAACTGAAATTGTGTTAGCATTCATTTTGATGCTAATTTTGGTGATAGAGACGAACTTCTTTGGTCAGTCTACACTAAACTATCCTTGGCAATACTAGACTTTGATCCTTTTGGAGATTTGTTTTTCACATCATCTGTATTACCATCACTTGCTTTGGTATCTTTAGCACTAAATGGAAAACGAAAAAAGTTTAAATTGTTGAGTACATCACATTCCAGCAAGAACAAAACAATGGTGCATAAAAGTTAAATGATGACTAGATGCTAATTATGTTATAATAAAATGAAGAAGAAGACCTTTACCATATTTAGATTGCAAATGTGAGTTATAAACTACTTTATTAAACTAAAATGCAAACTAGGCATAAAAAAGTACAATAAAAATACTTTAACTTAATAAAGGCTTAATATGAAAATAGAATTAAGGCAGTGCAGATGCAAACTGACAGATGTTAGGCAAATCAATATTAGTAGCACAGTTGCAGGGTGAGATGAAAATAAGTGAGACCAAGAAAACTAACTAATGGAAAATATTATGAGAAATGAATTTGTTTCAAAAAGGCTACTAAAAGCTGTTTCTAAATATGACCACAGAAACATGCCATTTTAAAATTATAATGATGTGCAATTGTACCCCAGACCAGGCAAATTGTCTGCTTGTAAAAAAGTGTTTTTAAATCAAATTTATAGAACTAAAGTCACACTGCACATATTATTTCGGAGGACAAAATTTTTTTGGGGAGGTGCTGCAATTAGGCATAAAACATTTTCATATGGAAGGCAGTAAAAAACACTTTCAAAACCAATATATAATCCACAAATTTAACTCTGAAAAACTGCACAATACAAGACAAAGAGTGGCATGTTAATTGGAAAAACTACTGAGAATATGCAATGCATAAAGTGATGAACTCAGAATGAGCCAAAAATCATCACTAAGACTCAATGAGCACAAAACATTTGTATAATGCCATGACTTTTGAAAAAGCAAAATTACTTACATTTCCTTTCATCCCCAATGATAAGATTGCATATTAAGAAGGCTGAAGTCATGAGAAAATCAGTTTCCTTATGCACACTAGAAATGTTACTGTTAATAACATTAACCATGAATTATAAATTGTTAATGACACAGTGTTCTCCCCACTCCCTCCTTGGTTTTATTTACAATCATTATTTACTTCTTTTCTACCACAGAATCGAATACACTGCCTCGATAAGCACTGCTTACCTTTCTGCCTACTAGATAGATTAGGTGTTAAGAAATTTGAACATGGCAAACATACAGAGAACTATCTTCTGACAGAATTCTTCATGAACTTTCTAAAAGCAACTGGATTGTATTCATATTTATACATGAGGAAACCCAACTATGAAGATAACCTTTGTGCCTGGGACGAGCTACCAGTATTCAGTGGTCTTTGACTGGTTGCTCATTGGAGACTTTTTTTTTTTTTTTTTTTAATTACATTTTTTCCACCTGATGCAAAAACTGTATGTTTTTAATTTTGTTATAGTCATAAGTCCTGACTGGTTTGTTTTTGTATCTACCATAGACATGTACACTGAGAAAAACTGCAAGTCTACTAACTAGAAAATCACTTCTTAAACTATAATAAATGTATTGCAAGAACTTTTTCTTTTTAGGCTTCAGATAATAAACACTGCAAACCAAGATATGTTTTTAACCCCAAAATCAAGTTCATGTGTTTGTAAAGAGTCTTATATAATCCAGTATTTTTGTCTGGTGTTCAATAATTGAATTTCTAGTTAGTTCCAAATGAAAAAAATGCTGGGGATTTTTGCTCTAGCAAAATATTCATTAAATAAACCCAATTATCTTTTCTCACTGTGAAAAAATATAAAATTTCATTGACAAATAAATCACTCTAAAATTATATTTACTCAGAATTTTTATATATTTATTATTCAAATAACTATACCTGGTTTGAAATTCTTTATTATGTTAAAGACTGAATTATTTGGTCATGCAAAGTGTGTTATCAATACCTATAGGAACAGATACTTTCATTGAGAATATTCTAAAAGAAACTAGCCTGTACCTACATTGCATTACAACTCACAGCCAGCCCATTCAAAGGCATAGACATAATGTGTAACACCCAAGTTTCACAGTTTTGTTACTTTGCCATTGGTTAGCCTGCTTATTATGTAAGAATTCATACTGATGCTGATTGACTTATAGTGAAAAATCCTTCGTATAAATCCGTAATGTTATTACTTTGAATTGTATCTCCTCACCAATACAAAATTTCTTTACATGTCCTTCTTTATAAAGATATGAATTCATTCATGATAAAAACTAAAGATAAACTATTCTAAATTCACACACTAGAAAAACAAAGCTGAAATTATTTTCGTCTAAAATTATATTTCTAGTATGCCATTTGTTTCTCAGGACAAAGTACATAATGATGCTTGCCTAAGGTTTTAAGAAATCTGAAACACAGCTTTGCCATACTTGAGTTCCTACAATCATACTATATTTACAGTGATGAGAAAAAGACATTAATAACAAAATGTGAGCAAGCACTTTAATTTGAAGATAAAAGAACAGATATGGTCTAAAAGAAGAGAAATTTTACGTGTAATTGATGATGAAAGTTTCAGACATACTGCGAAAAAATAATACACAGAAATGAAGATAGTATTTAGCAGAGAATCACAAAATGTACCTAAGTATAAATGGTGAAACTATCAGAACCTAATTATAACCTTCGTGTATATTTATTGTGAATTATCAGATACATTGAAAGAAAAACTGGGAACTCTTTACTATATACATGTTTATATCAAAAGCACTGTAGGCTAAACACTGGGAATTCTTTATAAAGTACACATTCTGAAAACTATGAACAAACAACATTCCATTAGAAGACATCATGTGTGCAACAAATATAACATTCAAAATGAAATTACCTGGTTATGCAAAAAATGCCAAATTACATCAACCTCAAACCTTTGACTAATAATCATACCAAAACAATAAGTGAATGCATGCAAATTGCTCATTTTACTTTGAATACATTTCTGTTAAAGTAATATTATATAATCAAATTCTGGAAGAGTTAAAATTATTTACATTATATCAGGATTTCTCAACCAGGGGGTGAATTTTATAATTTCAGGGGCAGAATGCAGTCAGCCTTTTATTTAGCTGCTGAATATTTAGTTTTAGTTAATGAATTGTTATTTTTTTCTTAATTGTACATGTTGCTAAGGCAGAGCTTGACAAGCAATGCATAGTTAAAATTGCAAAAATAGGTTGCTCTGGAAAAAAACAAATATTTGAAAATGTAACTTTTTCCAGAGGAATGGTAGTATGGCAAATTGAAAATATTTTACAGAATTTACTTGATCAGCTAGGAACAAAAACTGCTAATTGTAACTATAGTTCTCTTGCTTTAGATGAGTCCCAAGATATTACTGACATTAACCAATTATTAATCATTATTCATGGCATAGTTGAGAAATTTGGAATTAGCAAGGAGCTCATAAGGCAACATTTGAAAGATATGACCACTAGAGAAGACACTTTATGGCTGCTGGGGCGTTTAAATTAAACGCATTTAACTTCAAGCATCATCACAGATGGCTACCCTTGTTTAACAGAAAAAAATGCAGGCTTATTAAAACGAGCCAGTAATAAAATATAAAAGATGCAACCACAGTATGAAATAATTTTTCAGTATTGCTTCATTCATCAAGAAGTACTTTGTAAAAAATTGGGTCATTCCATTAATGTTATAACAAAACAGGGTTGAGCCCTAAATCACTGGCAGTTTCCCGAATTCTTCAAAGACATTTTATATTTCACTACTGATACTGGTGCTCTAGACAGTACAAGAGATGGCAAAGGCTGACTGCACTCACATTCAGCTTGATCAGCTGTATATGTTTTTCTTCCTCTTCTAAAATGTGGCTATATTCTCAGCAATCATGTAGTAAAATAACTAATGGGTTTCTTGGCAAAAATTTCATGTCTGCCATTTGGGAATGGAGATTCTTTTAGCCTAATTAACGTACAAGATTACCTACCTCCTCAAGGGAGAACACTGTATTACATATCTCACATGGAAAATATATTTTCATGTTTGCTTGGTATTAAACATATTGCAACTTATGTTTTTCAGCCTTGTTATATTTTTATTCAGGAAATTAATAGACAATAAATAATTCCTTCAAGGAACTAGAGAATTTTTTCCCCTATCAGATTTGCCAGTCATTTAACACTTTAGTGCTAAAAAACGTTTGTTGAATTATGAGGATAATACATATGCATTTTAAACAATGTTTAAAATGTGTTTTTGAAATGCAGATCAATTAAGACAGAGCCAAAAATCAATATTCTAAAAACTACCACAGTTTTACAATAATAATATTAAAAAGGTCTGTTTAAATAGGAAACTGAAAATTACACTGAAATATAGAAATACTTAAGTTCAACACTTAATCCCCAAAATAATGTATTTTGTGTCAATAGTAGTAAGTGATTTTAAAAGCTTATTTTGAAAATAAAGTGTCATATAATGTCAAAGAGATTAAAATCTTCTTAATTTACACAAGCTATAATCAAAGCTGGAGTAACTGAAAGAAAATTGTGTGTTCAGAAAGGAATAAAAGTACAGCATCAAAATTAAATTCAACTTTATCTCATATTTTAAGAAGAAATAAAGGCAAGATAGACTGCAGGCAAACATCCAAAAGTGATTTGAGAGATATGACAGCATTCAAAATCAGAAGAATGAATAATAATTCAATGATATTTTGAAGAGATCAGCAAGTCAAAGAGATAGAATTCAGCAAGACAAGTGAGAGAGAATTGAAATTACATGAAAAATGAAGAAAAGTATGTCACACAACATTTACATACATATATTCAAATCACTTCCCAGTGCAATAGACTTCTACCCTTTACAAATCATAAAGTATTATAAATTTTCTATAAATTAAACACTTTTGTGTTTCTTAATATTAAAATAAACAATGCAAAATCATTACAGTTTGTAAAATATTGATGCTATAGCCATGTATATTTTTAAGACTTAAAACAGTAAATATAATTTTAGAAAGTAAATGTTCCACTATTTAATACAAACAGATATTAAACTCATTATAATAGTTATTAATATACAGTAATTTGCACAATTAAATGTTGGTCTATGAATAAGGACATGATGTTCTTTCCTTCACAAATGGATAGGTTTGAAGACAACTGAATAATTACCCCCACTTGAATTACTCAGTTTTCAATTCAGCAAGATAAGTGCAATTATGCCTGATGCACTTTCATTAAACACATAAATGGATATTTATATTTGAATTTAATTTATACTGAAATATAGAAATACTTAAGTTCAACACTTAATCCCCAAAATAAGATCAACTTAATCCTCAAGAGATACTGTGATATTATCAATAATTACATTTTAATATATTAATTTTATGTTTTTATTTCTTACTAAGGACAGCACAATGACTCAAAAATTTTGAATAACTAACTACATATCAGGTGAAAGTATATTAATGAGAAAACATTACACGTTAAATTCACATGGTAAGTATAATGACTATGATGATGATGATAATTGCAACAGGATTTTTTATTTTCCTCTAGTAATTAATGAATGGGTTTACATAGTGACATATAATGATGACCAAATACAGTATCCTACAATGGTTTAAAATGAAATTAATAAAATTTTAAAATGTAAATAGTTTTAATGCAGTTTTACTTTTTAAATATAGCTCTTTGATATTATTAAACTTCTTAGCAAAACAGATGCAGCTTCTAGATCACTTCACAAAATGCAGCTCTTGAAAGATTTTCAACTTGTCATCTAAGTTTTTCTAAATTCTGAATTGTTCTCTTTAAAGGAAAAAAGTAATATGATGTGGCAAATTCAGCCAAAAAAAAAGGGAGGGGGGCTATTATCAATAGCAACATTTTTGTTTACAATAAGCTGCTTGACAATAAATACATTATGGGAATCAAATTGATTGGATTCTTATTGTTTAATTAAATCCATAACAGCAGACATAGACTGCATAAAATAAAATATTTTATTAAGATTTCTTCTCATAAGTAGAGAGTATTTCAAGATTAGAATCACAGATACATCAAAATGGTGGACATTCTTCCTTGGATGAAAAGTATCCTAGTGAATCATTTTAATATTCCATTTAAATCAGGATTCTTCTCCAAAGATCATATAGCCTAACAATCATTATATCACTGGTTATTATTTTGTAGTTTTTTTTGGGGGGAATGATTAGAAAATTCAAATTCTAAGGGGGGGGAAGAAGTCTTAAAATTTTTTTGTACTCTGTGTAAATGACTGGTACCTATACTAACGGGATTAATCAGATAATTTCAAAAGCTTAAATTTTGGCAACACATACAGAATCAAAAGAAAAACTTTACATTTTAAGATCTTTTCAGAAATCTTACAACAAAAATTATGTTTTAAAACAGCATACATTTTTATTTTGTAAAAGGTATTTCTTTGTTCTCCATATACATTAATATACTTAATCTTTCTGAATCAGTTTTGATGGTACAGCTATATTGTAAAAGGGTAGAAGTAATAATCAAGTAAAATAATAATTTAAAAAAGCATAATTAAGGCTTTTTGATTTTATATGACATACTTTTGAGTTCAGTCACAAGTGAAAAGAAAGGGAAAAGTGCATTCGAGAATGAACACAGACAAAAGAGGGGGAAAAAGCTATCGAGCATATGATTGTTCCCGAGGCTCACCCTGCTGACTGAATCATGGGCGTGTCTTCATTAGCAACTTCCCCATCATTATCTTTTTCAGTTTCTTCAGTGACCTTGAGAGGCTCCTTCTCTTTGCTAAAGGGGCAGAGAAATATTACTCAAATCTATATATCCCTAAGGAAACACCTCAATAAAGGAGTAATTGCGGAAATCATGATCCTAGATAATATTAGCTCCCTCAAGAGATACTGTGAGAAAATAAAAAATGGTTACAATAGTGCTTTAGTCTTCTAGATGAGTTCCCCTAGAACTTTAACACATGCTAAAAAAAAGAAATCATAAATTCATGCAATTTTTGCACATGCAGTTAACAGTTTCTACTTTGTGAATTTTTGGTATTGTACAAAAATTTATTAATTTTTTTTTCAAATTCTGTATATGATGAGAAAATATAACACTTTTTAGAGTTAATAACCATGCAATAAAATTACAAAACTACATATTTCAAAAACAAAGTACCTATATTTACAAGCATAAATATACATAAATAAATAAAAACATATTAATAGACAAAAAGTAACAGCATGCTTCAATCAATCAATAAGTAAATCTAGGATTTTTTTAAGGGGTTTGTAATGGTATATGAAATGACAAAATAATGTCATGCTAATAATATTTCAAAATAAGGAAAATTTATTCTTTGATTGATTACTCACTCAAATGCTGGGTTATCCACTTCTGTTCTCGTTTTTTTTTCAGGGTTATCGCCTTTTCTGAGGGAATAATATCACAAATTCAAATGCAAGCAAAGACAACAGTTTCACAGATTAAAACTTACATAATTAATAATGACATATTTGATTAGATACACTAGATATACATATGTAACTGAGACAGAAAAGGCAGAGCAGAAGATATGCGAAGAATGCAGGAACTATTGCCATGCCATTTTTATATTTACTAAAGTAGCACAATTTACAAAATTTATCATGTGAAATAAATTATTACAATACAAAGTCTGAAATCCAGACTCGTCGGGACTTCGGCAATTCCGGATATTAGATCATCAATTTAAATCTGGTAGGATGGAATGCAGGAATTATACAATCAAAAATATGAAATCGTAATTTGTGAAATAAAGAGCAATTATGATTTAAAGAGCATCAAAATTTACAAAAAAAAAAAAAAAAAAAAAAAAAACTTAATATTTATTTGTTTACTTTATCAAACATCTCTTTTAATGTTAATTGTTTAAGCGCTTTGTTTTTTGTGTTAATACTTTCTCTTTAATTCTATAAACAGACATAATTTCTTGTTCAGTTACAAAGTTCCACTGTTCAAGTCCTCTAATTGCTCTGTTGAGAATACCGACCAACTTGTCAATCAAAATTTTTTTGTTTTCAATAACCTCTCTGTCACTTTCTTCACTATCAGTAGCAGTATTTTCTGGATCCAGAACCATACTACAGATTTCGCCATCCGTTAATTGATTGATGATTGGGGCACTATCATCGCAATGAAAAATTTCTGTTATATCATCTTCATTTATTACTGCTTTTCACATTTCTTTACAAAATACATTAACTGGAAAATTTCACCTTTAATTTGATTTGTGATATCCGAAAACCTTCAAATTCACGGCTATCATCTTCATCATCCTCACCATAACATATGGTAGCTGCCCATAAATTATGCCAAGCAATTTTTAACGTATCTGGAGATACATCCTTCCATGATCTTGCAATGCTCCACACAGCAAAATTTATGCTAAAATATTTCAAAAATTCTTGAATAGTCTTGCCGTTGCTGAAGAAATTTAACATGAATAAATAAAAACATATTAATAGACAAAAAGTAACAGCATGCTTCAATCAATCAATAAGTAAATCTAGGATTTATATTTCTGTTTAAAAATGCCACTTTATATTTGCATTTCAGCATGTGCACTATTCCGATATCCATAGGCTGAATGACAGACTTATAATTTGGAGAGAAGAAGAATACGAATACATTATCTTTCACTAAAACTTACAGTGAAGTATGAGCCGAACAGTTGTCTACAATCAGGACTATTTTTGAGTCATCAGGTAAACCAACCGAATTCAAATGTTGCCGAGCCTCGGGTATAAAATGATTTTTAAACTAATCATTCATTAATGCTTGTGTCATCCTTGCTTTTTTCTTTGCACAATGTATAATGAGGAAAATTGTTACTCCTTTAAATGCTTGAGGTCGTGCATGTTTTCCAATTACGAAAAGTTTGTGTTATAAAAAACTTCTCATCCCTTAATTTTGCTGCTCAGTGCTTCCTTGAATTCGAAAAATTTTGTCTTCCCTAAATTCTGCTGTCCGGTGCCGACATGTTCTGCCACCGCTTCTGAGTTTAAGGTGAACAACATATCAGTTATTCTTAATTAAAATAGCACTAAATGAAATCTTTTGGCCAATGAGTTTCATAAACAAAATCTATTTTTAGCATATGAAAAGAAATTTTTGTTGAATTTTTCCTCTTCAACATTTCTTAGAGCATTTAAAGATCTATAATTATCACCGAGCATAATGTTAGCATAAAAGATTGCCATACTCTTCTTATTATTCAATTAATAATATAAAAGAAATGTTTAGACATCACTGCATGAGTTATTACTGAAGCTGTCATGTACTGATAAACATATGGTGATGAAAGCAAAATATAATAAATAATGACTCGCCAGGTCAGCGTCAAGGATATAAAATAGGCGAATGTTTTGGTTCGTGATGTATGTCAAGCAGACACTCAGCTACAGAGCCAAATTATTAATCTCACAAATTTATTCTTACATAATTGTTTTCCCATAAGGTATTTTATTTAGTGCTTAAGTGAAATTAAGAATTGGAATTTTTAGTGAAAAATCTCCACATATTTTATTATCGAAGTAAAAATCAAATGTGCATGAGTAAAGCATACGAAAAAAGTGTTTACGGCTTTGACGTCCGGATTTTCGATCATTCCGGATAATGGATGTCCGGATTTCGGACTTTGCACTGCATGAATTCTTTATTTCTTTTTAAACTATTGTAGGTTTTCTTAAATCCACAGACACAAAATAAATTTGTTACTGTTTCATAAGATAATTTGTGATGCAATGAAAATAAATTATAAAAATACTAATAAATACTTTAAATTGCAATTTTTGGATATTAAAATAATTTTAAAAACTACCATATTTAGATAAATTATTTTTTCAGCATAAAATAAGTACATTATACATTTTATTAATGGTACTGATGGAGAGCACAAGCACCTTTACTATTTTAGAAATTTGTCTAATTAAATTAATATTTTCTCTAACTTAAAAGCTGAGATGCTGACAAATTTATTCATTATTTGAGATACTATGGAAACAAGAATCAACATAATGTTTAATAACTTTCCAGGACTTCGAAGGTTTGAATAAAGAGCATTTTTCTTCAGCTGCAGGTAAAGGAAAAAACAATCTTTCGCTTTCCTGCATCTGACGAAAGTTCTCTATTCAAACCTTCAAAAATTATCCTTGAAAATTTATAAAACATTATTCTGATTCTTGTTGCCTTAGCATCTCTAATAATCATTATTTGGTGTGTTATTTTAATCCAAATTTATTCTGAGAAAATATTTGACATACGTTTTATGAAGTAAGTAGTTATACCAGAGTAAAACTTGATATTAAAAACATATTATTTCAAAAAATAAATATATGCTAACATTTCAGGTATTTCTAGCTACTCCATTCAAAAACAATTCTAGCAATAAAAATAGATGGTTTCAAAAAGTACATATTAATCCTTATAGGATACCAATGTACTGTATATACACAAGGAAACTCTGATGAGGCAAAAATGAAGGAAGCAGAAAAAAAATTGAATAATAATGTATAAGATAAACAATTATAATAATAATAAATAAATGAATACTAATATATTTGAATATAATTATATTCCAATAATAAGTTTGTTTGTTTTCCTTGCTCTGTTACAAAAATTCACATGTTATTTTGCTTCACTTTATCTGCCCCTGCATGCATCAAAATTTATCCCTATATGCTTAACATTCATATTCAAATGTTAATCCTTATCAAACTGAATGCTTTCCAAATAAAGGTAACACTAGCAGCCTATTTTATTGATTTTGCTGATATAATAATAACAGTGTAGAAGGCCCTTTTCAAACTCCTTTAAAGCTAGAGTAAAAATTAAAAAATCTTCGACAACAAGGAGAAAAAATAATTACAAATAAATAATTAGCAAGCAAATAAGATGAAATTAATTATATGATTAGGGAATATACAATAATTTATGTAATAATTCAGCATTACTGATGAATGTAACTTCAATTGCAGTACAGTTTTATTTTTTTTCCAAATAACACAGCAACTGTGAAATATTATTTCACATTATACCAGAAACCAAAGTTGTCAGAATATTTAGATACAAGGAAGCCTAAATTTACAATCATTTAGCACATATGTGAAGCTCCAAAAGATATAAGACAACAAGCAAAGAAAATGCACAGGTTCCTTTAAAGCTTAGAAGCATGCTAAAATATTTGTAGTACAAGGTTTAAAATTTAGTTCTATGAGGTTATGATGTTGCTACATTTTTCAGCAAAAAATTTGTTGGAGGATTTTTCCATGTCTAGAGGCAGATTTACAAGGTCTTGCTAGTCAAAATCATTGAAGGCCCTGCATTCAAAGACCCTGCAAATTATTGATCATTTTTTAAAAATTATAATAAACATACCACATGTCTTAAGACTATGGATTTAAAAAAATGCAGGTGAAATGGCCTTTCCATTCAACAAATCTGCCACTGTCCATGTCAAAATCACAAATCTGAACATTTACAGTGTTCACTTGCATAAATTTCTGCACTAATTTTCATTGTTTAATATGCTATTTAACCCTCTGAGCGGCAGGGGTTTTTGGATTTGACATGAAGACCTGTATTTGTGCAGCATTTATTAGCTAAATTAGTATAATTACTTAATTTAGCCTCTGTTTTCATAAACTTAACATTCATTAAGATTTTATTTATTTTATTATTCATTAAGATTATTATTTTATTATTGAAGAAAGTAAAAAAGCAAAATATCTTAAGTTATACGCTAATATTATCAAGTGACAAAAAAATCTTATGACCGGATAAAGCCAGTCGTGCCGCTCAGAGAGTTAAAGAAAGAGATAAATATTTAAGAACAATTATGCAGAAGTCGTAACTTTATTTTTTCAAAACCAAAGGTTTAAACACATTTCTTTTGAAGCAATATTATTTCAGAATCATGATTTTGTCATAGACACCAGTATTACTTTATTTTAGAATATAGATTAGAAAAATGAAACAGAAGTCTTTATAACTTTCTAATCATAACAGAAATGTGTTAATAACTCAAACTAAAAGATAATTTTTGAATAAGCACAGCTATGAGAAGACAACTGTTTGGTGGAGGAATATGCTTTTAACAAAGCATTTTAATGCATCTCACACAACATGAAGGACGTTACATCTACCATCTAATTATATAATGATGGCTAAAATTTAAGCTCTCAAAACTTTACGGCTTTAACTAGTGACAATAAAGAATCCATACACAAAGATTACATTAAAATTATAATAATTGTCAGTGAAATAACATATAGAATTGTTCCACAATATATAGAAATTCGCAACAATGAAGCAGAAAAGAAACATGTAATGCATGTTTCAGAGGACAATGAGAAGTCCATGCAGAAAGCAACATCAAACCTAGAAAAAGACATGCATGAGTTTTCATGCTCCTCTGCAGGATAGACAGCAGCTAAACCTGAAATTAAATATCAGTAACAATGCTGTTACGTAGTACGCTTACTCAGGGACAGTTGAATTGTCCACATCTATCTTAACATTTCCATTGTTTGTATTAGCCTCATTTCCTCTGTAAAAAACATAGTTACGATGAACTGATATGATAGCTAATGCATATGATTATATAAAATTCTGTACCAACAGTATTTGATGAATAAACAAAAATAGGTGCTAGTTAAAATAAATCATTAGCAGTAAAAATGGAGTCAGCAATTCTTAAGCATTAGTTCCAAAACTGAAATATAAATTCTAATGAAATAATTAAACATAAATAAAAGTATTACAAATTACACGTAAAATGCAATAGCTGCAATATATTTTAAAATCAGACAAGTGCAAATTCATAATCATTCATCTTTTCCCTTTTTGATTTCACATTACAGATCTGTATATTCATTTAAAAAATTTCAAATTTTAATAGCTTGTCTTTGTCAAGAAATAATATCATTTACAATTTAAACACTAGAATGTTTTTACTATGGAGCATTAGTATTGACTTTATAATGATAACTGTTATATATGTAACTGTATTTATTATTATTATTATTAATTATTAACCATAATTGTGATATAGATTATTAGAGTAGCAATGTAGAATAAACCATGTTTTTTGTAGATATCATAATCATCATGTAGCACCTATCCAACATATATGATGAACTATCAAGGATACATGGTGCAGCCTAGTTTAGGGAAAAAGAAGGAAAAATATCTTTTTTTTTAAAGAACCATGCAGCTTCACTTGTGAATAACCTGGAAGATACTCTAAACTTTGAAACATGATAGGAAGTTGTTTACTGTGAAATAGAAACTTTCACTTTGGTAAGTGCCTTGTTTATTTTTATTAGAAGTGGCTAAAAATACAATAAACTAAGTCTTAAATTAAATAAGGATAGACTAAAGCCACCAAATAACCTAAATTTAAGGTAATTTAAGCGAAAACTGAAACAAAAATTCCAGATTTATATGTTAGCATCTGGTAGTATTACTAATTGCATATTATTGGTGAAGATGTAGAGTCATTAGGTGTTTTTAGAAGCAGGCCAGATGAAAAATATGCAACCGCCTTCGCCGGGAATCAAACCACAGACCTCTGGAATACTGGCCCAGTGTGCTGAACCACTACACCACGAAGGATGCTTGGAAAGTGGGAGAAATACCTTATAAAGAAACACTTGAAAAGATTAATATTTTTAATTTAAATGAAGAAGATAAGAAGGATGTTGACAAAGTAATTGAAGCTTTCCAAAATTATTGCACACCCAAAGGAAAGCAAACTAAAGTGTTGACAGACATATATTTTTCTGTGGGACACAACATGTAGGTGAATCATATGATGATTTTTTTAGTTAAAGAAATTAAGTAGTAACTGCCAATTACAGTAGAATTAAAAAATAATTTAATTGAGATAGAATAGTAAGTGGAGTTCTAAATAAAAATCTTAAAGATAGGTTTGTGGGAAATGGTAATAGTTAAACCATATTTCTTCTTCAAATTGTTGAGAATACCTTCATGGCAATTACTCCAGTAAAAGAAAAAGAAAAAAAGTGAGAAGAAGAAAAGAGTTATTGAATGAGCATTTTGGTAACACAGAGAAACCAGAAGAAAACCAACTGAAGAACTAGCATTTTTATTTAGATATAACAGATTTTTATTTAATTTGAACTCGATTTTTGGAAGTTTTTGAATCGGCTGTAATCAAATATTGTTGTTTAAATCATTATCATTTTAAACTAGAAATGTAAATAATATTGTGACAATATAAAACTAAGAAAAGCTATATCTGATGATTATTTCTAGGTTATGAATGATTTATTAAAGGAGACATTAATTTTTTCTTAGCAGATATTCGGAATGTAATCCAGCATCAAGAAAATCATCAAAGGGGTAAGTCTTGGAAATTGAATGAGCCATTATATTATATTAATAGATTTAACACTAAATGGAGTATATACTAGTTTTATTTAAAAGACACACAATAGGTTATCAAGGGAAGATCAGTTAACATTGGAGAAATTTATTAAAATGTGTAAAGCTCCTGAATTAGCAGAACTTCAGCTGAAAACATTAACTGAAGAAAATAAAATAGAAAAGATCAAGCGGAATAAGATTCCACCTTTATAGGAAAAATGTCAGCCATGTAAGAAAAAATACTATTTAAAGCAAGAGCAACAAAGTATTAAATCATCTTCAAACTATCAAGGAAATAACAACAATAATCCAAAACTATGTAGAAATTCTCAAGTTATACAGTTGTCCTGCTTATAATAAGATTTGCTTATACTGTAAAAAGAATAATCATTTTTCGAAAATGTGCAATTATAAAAATATTAATGTACTACAGAATAATTTAGAGCACGAGTTGCATTATAATGATAATGAATATATTTTAGGATCAGTAGAAGACAAAAATCCATTTTCTAAAAATGCAACAGAATGGTTTGAAAGGCTAAACATATTTAAATATTTATTTGTTAAATTGGATACTGGTGCTCAATGTAATGTGTTACCATTGCCTAAATTTGTTACCTCTTAAATTTAAACAATTAAATTTAAGAGATAAATGTCTGACTGAAATGAAAGTCACTTTAAATAATTACAATGGTTCTAAAATTGATGTAGTTGGAAAATGCAAATTCTTACATGAAACATCTAAAAGTGATAAAAATGAAGTAGAATTTCAAGTAGTAGCATGTGATAAAACTATTCCAGCTACTTTAGGTTTACATATATTGCAAAAATTAAACCTAGTACAAAGGCTTTGTACAGTAAATCCTAAATCTAATTAAAAGTTACCAGAATCTTTAAAAGGATATCAAGATATCTACAGAATTTGCAAATTCATTAGTTGTAGTAAGAAAATGGTAATTTAAGAATGTGTTTAGATCCTCAGAATCCTAACCAAAATATACTGAGAAAACATTATCACATACCTATCTTTGAAGAAATGTCATCTCAACTAGCAAATGCAAAGGTGTTTAGTATTTTAGACGCAAACAAAACATTTTGGCAAATTCAACTGTCACATTCAAGTTGTGAATTTACTACATTTAATACTCCGTTTGGTAGCTATTGTTTTTAAGTTTGAAAGAGTTCATCACAAAAAGTGTTTCAAAGAAGATTTTATGACATTTCTAGTGATTTAAAAGTTCAAATACATCATTAGATTAAGATGACTTATTAGTTTGAAGTAAAGATAAAAAAGAACATACGAGGGCCATCCAGGAAGTAGATTACGTTTCCGTCTGTGTCCGCTAGGGGCGGGGCTAGCGCGGCCATCTTGGGGTCAGAGCATTGCGCAGCTCAGTCTGCATCTAGCCGTGCTAGTGAGAGGTTCGTGCTGTGCTCCGTTCAGATACTGTGACGGTTTGAAATGTCTGCGTTAATTGAAAATCCCGCGAGCTGCGAGGTGCGCTCAGTAATAAGGTTTCTGACTGCAAAAAACTGTAAACCGATAGAAATCTATCGGCAGCTTCGTGAAGTGTATGGGGACAACATTATCACTGAAGGTGGAGTGCGTCAGTGGGTCATAAGATTTCAAAATGGCCGAACCAATGTTCACGACGAAGATCGAAGTGGGAGACCCAGCATAGTGACCGCCGAACTTCTCGAAAAAGTCGATGCTAAAGTCCGTGAAAATCGAAATTTCACAATAACGGAACTTTCTTTGAGTTTTCCACAAATTTCGCGAAGTTTGTTGCACGAAATCATCAGCGAAAAGCTTGGTTACCACAAGTTTTGTGCAAGATGGAAGGCAAGAAGAGGTAACGAAGTGGTTGAAGGCGCAGGCGGCCGAATTTTTCGACGAAGGAATTTCCAAGCTCGTACATCGCTACGATAAATGCCTTAATTTGTATGGTGACTATGTAGAAAAGTAGTATTTGAGTGTGGCTTTCATCTGTATATAATAAAATTTGTTTCCTATACTTTGTTTATTTTTTTATTCCAAAACGTAATCTACTTTCTGGATAGCCCTCGTAATTTAAAATTAAAATTAAAGAAATTGTTGGACAAAGCAAAAGAAAAGGATGTTAAATTTAATTTACGTAAATGTTAATTTGGGCTGAATGAAGTCAAATACATGGGACATATATTTTCAATGATGATTTAAAACCAGATAAAGACACAATTAAGGATATTCTCGATATTAAACCACCAAAAAATGTCAAGGAATTAGAAACCTTCCTAGGAATGATTACATATGTTTCTAGATTTATACCTTATGTATCAGAATTGACATCATGTTTAAGGGATTTGTTGTAAAAACAAGTTATTTGGAACTGGAATGCAGTACAGGAAAAAGCATTCAGAAGACTAAAAGATGCCACCAGTAAATAAATCAGTTTTACAGTATTATGATATAAACATGCCAGTAGTTTGCAGATGCATCTCAAGGACTAGGAGCAGTTTTACTGCAGAATAATTTACCAGTAGCATATGCGTCTAAAGCATTAAAAGATACACAGAAGAATTATGCTCAAATTGAAAAGGAAATTTTAGCCATTGTATTTGCATGTGAGAAATTTCACCAGTATATATTTGGAAAATATATTACAGTGAAAAGTGACTATAAACTGGGAATCAATTTTCAAAAAGACATTAAATAAATGCCCAGTAAGATTACAAAGAATACGTACAAGACTGCAGTCATATCAGTTTGAGATAAAAATATACACCAGGAAAAGAACTTTTTATAGCAGATGAATTATTAAGATCATTTACTGATAAAGGATTTGATTTCTTTGAAGGAGACATAGAAGCCAATGTTGGATTGGATGTAGAATGTATACCAATGTCTAAAGGTAAAATGGAAGTTTTTCATCTGGAAACAGAAAAAGATGCAGAACTACAAGTTTTAAGAGAATTAATTAAAACTGGTTGGCCAGATGAAAAATGTATGGTTCCAGAACTGGAAAAACCATATTTTAATTTCAGAGAAGAATTATCAGAAGCAAATGGATTAATATTTAAAAATTCCTGTGTTGTTGTACCAAGAAGTTTACGAAAAGATATGTTAAGCAGAATTCATTATGGTAATTTAGGAGTAGTAAAATGCAAGATCAAAGTAAGAGAAATATTATATTAGCCAGGAATGTCGAAAGAAATTGAAGATTTGGTACTGAATTGTCAAGCAACAAAAAGCTAATACTAAAGAACCAATGATATCTAAAGAAACCTAATGGTCCATGGGAAGTATTGGGAACAGATCTCTTTTACTTTCAAGGAAGGGATTATCTAATGGTTACAGATTATTTTAGCAAATATGTTGAAATTGGGCATTTGGAAGATTTGTCAAGTGTAGCAGTGATAAAGCAATTGAAATAAATTTTTGCAAGACATGGTATTCCGAAAATAGTATATTCGGATAATGGTCCACAATATAATTGCAGGAAATTTAAAGACTTTGCAAGAAGATGGAATTTTGAAACCAGAACTTCTAGTTCAAATTACCCACGATCTAATGGAATGATTGAAAGACATATTCAAACTGTCACGCGAATGTTAGAAAAAGCTGTAGTTGACAACAAGGATCCATATTTAGTATTACTGGAATATCGTAACTAACCTATTTCAGATGAAATTAAGTCACCTTCAGAATTGATGTTTGGAAGAAAAGTAAATGGGTTGATGCCTATAAAAGAGAATTTCGTCTAAGCTAAACGATATAAAGAGCATAAACAACATTTACTGAAGAGAAAAACTTTACAAAAAAGCTATTATGACAGAAATGCAAGACCATTAAAACCACTAAAGGTAGGAGATCACGTGCACGTAAAAGAGAAAGGGGGAAGAAAGAAAGTGGGAAAATTATAGAAGAAGCAGAAAGACCACGTTCATATAGGATTATAAGAGCAGACAGAAGAATTGTAGAAAGAAACAGAAGAGATATTCTTAAAGGAACTAATTGCAAAGAGTTTGCAATGCAAAACCATTATGAAAATGAAAGCCATGAAGATTTGAAGTACTTCAAATTCAGATATGGTCATAAGTTCTTCGAAACCTAACAGTAGTGTTGTGCCAAATACTGAAAGAGGTACTGTAATCACCAAATTTTGCAATTGCAATAATAACTGCACATATCTTTCAAGAATAATTTTCTTTATGTATTCAGTTTCTTTCTTCAACACATTTCCTTTCATTTTAGATTTTTTTGGATTTGAAATTGTGAAAATTTGAAAACATGAAAAGTATTTGATAATTAGATCCAGACAAATGTAATTAAGGATTTATGTTATTCTAAAAAACACTAAATGCATTTAGAATGTATAGAAAAAGAGGCTAATTTTATTTCTTTAGCAAAATGAAATATATATGGTAAAGGCCGGTTACAGAGTTGATGTGGCAGAATTTTTAAAATTTAATGACACATCGAATAACAAAATCTAGAAATGGCAAAACTTTTAGAATTTAGAGCAGACACTGGAAGCAGAATTTAAAAGGCACTAGGGAGTTGAATTTAGGATCCACAGAGATTGCATCAGATGGGAAAATGCCTAGAGCCATCTATGCGTATGATGCATTAAGACATATTAGATGAATATTTTAAATTGTAAGTTTTCAATTTATTTATTAATAAAAAAATCCTTTGCTATAATGCCTGCCCATGTCATAAGATTAGAAACATTTTTGATATTTTCCATGCTTGAGTCTAGTGAAAAGTAGAGAAAATAAAGGGAAGATACACATGCTAAGATTCTAATATAAGAAGTATAACATTCAAATATTATGTTTTCATTGTTCTTCTAGACGTTCTCCCAAAAGTAAGAAATTCATTGCAAACTTTCTGTAAAATACATCCATTACATGTTGATACTATGGAGACATTTTTCATTTTGTCACATATTTCTTGAATCTTCTAGAATCGTGGGTCATGTAAAAGAGAAAGGGGGATGAAAGAAAGTTGGCTTGTCTTCAAATCCTTTTAAACCTTCCAAGCTACAATGTCTAAAATCCTACAGAAAAATTATTCCTACCAATTCTGTAACAGCAAAAAGACAGAAATATTTTTTTTTTTTTTGGGGGGGGGGAACGTAAAATTAATTTTATAGAGAAAATTGACGCATATTTTGAGACAATGACATGAAAAAACTTTTACTATGAAAAAATTAAAAAGAAGACATTTTTAATTAATTACATAGCTAATTTTGCTTTTGCTAAGAGGTGTTTTGTAAATTGTGCTTTAGAGCATTATACCTTGTTTATTTTTCAGATTCAAAATTTTGTATAAGTTGTTAAAGTGAAACTTTATAATATGACAGCAAAAAATAAATATGTTTTATTTTAATATTATTTTTTAAATATAAATTTCAATACATTACCATTATTTTAATGAAATTTATCAATGTTACGATGTTTTAAAAAAAATGATCGAAAAATTCTCAGATCTCGGAATTAAAAATTTTCTATAAAAACTGATCTTAAAATCGCCAAAATGTTGATAAGTCACCAAATTTAGAACCGTTTAATTAAATAATTCACATTCCCAAAAGCGAAAAGTTGTTTAAAAGCTCTTTATTAGAAAAAATGATTTTTGAAATGCTTATGTTTAGAAACTCGAGTATCCCACCATTCATATTAGAAATAGAAACAAATTATAACCCATGAATCCATTCAAAAGATAAGCATATATGTCAGTGAATCACGAAAAATATTCCAACAAAATGCTAATTCACGCTCAAAATGGTGGTCGTAAAAACAGACAGAAATTTCAGATGATTAAAATTAAGGACTTTTAAGAACCAAAAATCGATTCCAAAAAATCTAAGGACTTTTAAGGATCGTACAAACTCTGATGTAGCAGTATACATATTAAAAGTTAAATATATCATTTAGTTAAAAATTTCATCATTCCAACAGTGTATAGTTCTGTGATAATAATATTAATGATCATAAATTAGTTTCACTTCACTTCACTTTCATTAAATCAGTGATGGGATACAATGACAAGACCATGTTATTCAACATGATGGAATAGCAAATTTTCTTCATCCATTCTTGAAAACATGTAAATAAAACAAGTATATGAATAGTTTTAGTTATGAAATTAATTTTTTTTCAGTTTTTGTAGTAAGGTATGGAATGTATGAAACTTAGTTGTAATAAATATGCATTACTCTGTTTCAATCATTTGGGGAAAAATCAATTTATTGCTAAAACTTATTTTATTTACATACACTACTGTAAAAATGTTTAAATATGCTATGAAAAAATAAACATCCAACTATATCACTCACCCTCCTTTTCCATCTTCATAAGCAGCTTCCTTAGCCTTTTCGTTGACCATCGGCTTAGCACACACACGACTCCGAAGGAAAAAGACGAGGCCCCAGTGGTATCGGACGTAACAAGTCACATCAACAATAATTAGAATGACAAGGACAATAGCAATAATGATGGCAAGAATTGCACCTGTGGATAATGAACTTGGTACCTGGCCAGAATAACCATTGCTTAGCTGATCATGCTCTGAACCTAGATGTTTGATTGCAAAAAATTAAAAATCTGAGGTGAGAAAAGCATTAAAAACAAATTAATTTAATACTGATGGTTACACATAACAATCTCAATCCATCTTTTTTTTTTTTTTTTTTTTTTTAAAAAAAGCAAGTTAGATGATAAAAATAATATCGCTTCAGAGATTAAAATGAAATATCTATTTGCACATACAGGATGAAAAGATTTTAGTATGTTAAAATGTATTACTGGAAAAGACTGTATTATATCTAAAGATAATAACATTATTTAAATATTTGCCTTTTTCTCTCTGTTTGCATGTATCTGTATCTGCAACACACACTTATGGCCCTACATAAAAAGTAAGTGGATTAAAAAAAGAGGGAGGGGGGAGAAATAAAATAGAAAATCTGAAAGGATTCAAATTTTAATGTGCCAGAGAGTTAGTTAAGCTTTTTTCTGCTCTTGGACTCACACCTGCTAACAGAACTTTTTTGTCTTTGTAACTTTATTATTAAAGTTTAACTCAAATCACTAACACCATATAAATGTCAACAGATAAATCACAAAACTTCTTAAAGCAGCTTATTTTTAGTATTCCCAATATAGTGTTAATTGCTGCCATAATTTTTCTATTTTTAACCATAAAGGGCTATTAATATCAAAACAGGATTCTGCACTGTTTCACTTTTCATTCAAATCTTTTGTCATTTCGCAAAATAAGTCTGTTGTTGATTAACAAACTAAGCTTATTTAAAAGCAATAGATGCAGTTCTTAAGAATTAAAAAAATATTAATCTCATTTGATTTAAATGAATTTAATATATAATAGGTCTAATTAAAAACATTGAAAAAATTTTGTAGAAACACATTATATATTTTTTCACTTTTCAAATGTGCAGAAGATAAATAATGTTCTCATGTTTAAATTTATATTAATCTAGTATCCTATAAAATGTTTTGCTATTCTACCACAGCCATCATTATTGATAATCTTTAGTGACAAATCTTATTAAAATTTAAAAGAGACTTTATGGGTAACCATTACAATCTGAATTCTTTCAGACTTTTATCCCAGTTTTTTCTCAGTTCATATAAATGTTCAGTTTTACACAGTCTTCTGTGTCTTTTTATCATTAACTTTTCGTTTTTTTAACCATATTTATTAAACACCATTTTCTTTGCACTTATGCCACAAAAATTCAAAAGCAAAATCACAATTCTTTTAAAAAACAGCACACCTTTAGAATTCTTGCACAGTGTTTAAGCATTGCTACACCTTTCTTTCTTTCTTCTTTTTTTCTTTTCTTTTTTTTTTTTTTAAATACTCACTATATTATTCCCTTAAAAATAATACATGTGGATAACATATGATGGCAATATCCTTTTATTTGAAAAGTAACATGGATAAAAAAAAGGAAGGATTGAAACTAATAGCATCTCCAGTGCTAAAAAAAGTAAAACTAATCACAAGTATAAAAAATAACATTACTCAATTAAACTGTTCTTATTATACATTGGAAAATGTGTCACTTCAGTTCATTAGCTAACTTATTTTCTCTCTTGTAGATAAATCAATTAATATTTTTATGATAAAAATTCAACACAGTTAATTTTAATTATTATTTAATAAATCATTATCCTATTTTAATACAGAAAATGCAAATTATATAAAATAACACTGTTTTACTCTAAGTCTTTAAAATCTAATTTAAACTTTCAAAGTGCAAAATGGAACAGGAAAGAAGCAGTTAATGAAATAAAAACAAAAATTTAGATTACTCAATATTTTGTTTTCATTTATGGCTTACAGAAATAAACATAAAACAATTTGAAACAAATTTAGGATAATAAATTTAAATTTATTTCTAGTCCCTATCAAAATGAAATTCCTCAATAAATAAAATTTTTTGATTAAATTAGTTATTTTCCTATAAGTAATTTTTAAGGCATTTTTTATAAAAAAAAAACAAAAGAAGCTGGACATTTATAATTTATACAAGTAATATTCAGTTCTAATTTAATAAGTGATGTTTGTAAGTCCTATTAAAAATGATTAAATTTCAACTAATATAAGAATAACTTGAAATTTTAGATCAACTCAGATAAAATATAAAATAATATGGTTTCAATATACAGCAAGTCAGATTACAAAAGGTTAATTTGCAATGGTTAGTGCTTTAAAGTGTTGAAACATTCATTCCAACATGCACATGCTAAAATAAACTCAAATTTATTGTTTAAAAAAAGCAAATTTTCAAAAGGGGGGAATATATCAGAAGAGAGTTAGCATGCAGCAGGGTTAAGAAAGGACAGCAAGGTAGAGTACCAGGCATGTGGATGTGAGAGCGACCTTGTGTACCTTTGCTGGGATCTAGAACAGAAAAAAAGACACAAATAGCAAACACATCAATACATGAAAATTATTAAAATGGCAATAAAATACCACAAATGAAGTTAAAATGTTAGGCTCAGTGCAAGTCATGCTTATTAACAGCAAATAAACATAATGTTTTAAATTCCAATATTCTATAACTTAATTATTATTCAACAACAGAAAACAATTTCTTTTTCTTTTAATTTAATAAATACATTTCTAAAGGAAAGTCTGCTTCAAAGTTAACTTTTCTTTTATGCATGTATGTTTAGTATATTAATTTATTCAATAATTCATGGTATTGGCTGAATAATAATAAGCAAATAGATAAAAGGAATATTTAATACAGTGTATTTTAATTAATTTTTTGTGCATGTTTGTATTAATTATAGTTTTGACATTACACTAAAACTATACAAAAAGTGGTACATGTAGGCTTATAACAACCTAACTTTTTAAAGAAAAATATAATTTAAAAATAACCTACCTATAAGTTTCATGATTTGTTTTAAAGAAAATTTTGCATTTTTGAATACTTGAGGCTGTTTTCAGTTATTTTGTAATTAATTTAACTCTTTTAAATTTACTACCTCAAAATCTTTACTAATTGTCAAATATATTACACTATCAAAATTTTACTTACTATTCACTTCTACCAAGAAGCTATTAATTTTGCAAAACATTGCACTGAGGTAAATGAAAGTGCAGGTGTAGAAAATTAGTAAATGTGCAAAACAGGAAACATCATTCACAAAGTTAGTGATTATTAGAGAAAAACAAAGAAACTGGGAACAAACTGTACATCCATAAAATACCTGCAGCTGTCTGAAATATCATAGTTGCATCCTGACTAAAACCAATATCATTGTGAGCTCTAACTTCTACTTTATAAAATGTATTAGATTTCAACTTATTCATTTCATATGAAGGGGCATTTTCCCAGTCTGTAATTTTCTTCTGTACTACTTCTCCTACCCTACGCCACATTCCATTTTTCTTTTCCGCCTAAAAAGAAGTTCAGTAATTTATTTCATTTCTGGATAATGTAAAAAATAAAGCATCACAATCAAATAGAAATTCATACACTTACTTCAAAATAACGCAATTCAAAGAAATCAATTTTACGTCCATTATCTAATGGTACAGTCCAACGAATCTGAAATCGATCAGAGTACATGCTCACATTTCCTCCAGGTGTAATAAATTTCGGAGGTTCTGGAGCTGATTCAGCAGGCATAACAATTCGCTTTTCATCACTCCATTCACCAATACCAACTTCATTTCTTGCAGCAAAACGGAATTTGTATGCTGTTCGAGGCTTTAAATTTTCAAGCACATATGGAAAACCTGGAAACATCAACATCCCTTTTAAAAATATAAGAAATATATATATCATTTTTAAAAATCAAAATAAGACAAAGTACAAAAATCCATAAAGTTCATTTATTGTTTGTTATTGCAACAACAGTTAATGTGTTATAACAGAAGAATATACATTTTTTTAAAAAAAAAATTAAAACACCTTACAGCCAAAACCAAATAAAAAGGAACTTTCAAGGTGTAACATTCGTAAATCTAAAAAATGAATTAAAAAATATAACTTCCATAGTGGAAAGCATAAAAATTTAATAGAATAAAAAAACAACTCAATGTTAACATTTGTTTTGTTTCATTAATTGTTTTTCTAACATAAGTTCTTTAAGCAATTTTAGTTTACTTAATACTTTTAATTCTCTTAATACTCAATAATGTGTTAATTTTTCTCCAAATTTTATAAAGAGACAATTTCTTGTTCAGTTATGAAGTTCTGTTGTTCAAATCCAGTAACTGCTCTGAAGAAAACTCCTATTAAACAGTCAATTGAAATATTTTCAACTCTTTACCCCTTTTTCACAATTGCTGACAATACGTTCTGCAGTTAAAACCATACAAGTTTTGCCATCTATAAATTGACTAAAGATTGAAGCATTATCACTTTCTTCACAATTGGGCGAAAGCTGACCATACAGTTACGGGAGCTTACTGTGGTATTGAATGGCCTGGGTTCAAATCCAGGCGTGGTTGTAACTGCCCATCCCTTCATTGAAGGCAATGATGGCAGCTTATTAAGTGCCTTCACAATAAAATGGCCACCACTTCTGGCCTTAGGGGTGGCCAATGCAGAATAGGCAAATGTCCGCCATTGGATTAAAAAACGAAAATCAATTCGAGGAAATATTTTCTAGATTTAAAACCATACTATAGGTTTTGCCACCTATGATTGATGATTGAGGCATTGTCAATACAATGAAGAGTTCAGCTATGCAGTCTTCATTTAGCATTTTTACACATATTGAATTAATTGGAAAATTTCGTGGTTCTTTCTATCCATGCCTTTTCACAATTTCTTGGTGCCAGCAGTTTGGCTTCTTTCCTGATGCAACCACATTTTGCATCTTTATTTTTTTATTTTATTGGAATATATTTTTATGACTTAAAATTGGCCAGAAGATGAACAAGCAGTTATCCCATTTCTTCAAAAAAAAAAAAAAAAAAAAGGTGGGGGGGGGGGGTATGTTGCACAAAGAAAGACTGTGCTTGAATTACCACCTCCTGAATAAAATATTAGTTAAAGATGAAATGGTGATGTTATTTGCCATTTCAGCTTATTATTAACTAAATTAACTAAATTTTTTTTTATTGTGATATTACTGGATAATTTTCAAATTTACCACTATCATCATCATGACGGAAGCTTGGGTATAACCTGGTTTTAACACTTTCCAGTGCTCCTCCTGCATAATACAGTGAAGAGCCTGCATAAATAAAACATATTCATAATTTAAAGCAAAATGTACCTATATTTAGTTGTCATGTGTGGGAACAACTTATCTGGCACCTTTCAAAAATTGATACCATAGCAATCTAATTCTTTTTTTTTTTCTTCCTTGTTGCAACAGCAAAAGAAAAAAGTTTATATAACAATCCACTCAAAACACATGTTTTGGGGTTCATTTTATTATGTACAGACCTAGATGAGACAGAACAATGCTACTCTCTACAACTATTTGAGAGTCTAAAAGGAAAATAAAATTCATTAGCCAGCAAATATTACAGTCAAAAACAACATGCAGGATGATTTAATAGTATTACCATTTTTATGGAAGGGGAGGAACCTCAGTCAGTTGAAACAAAAACTCATTTATGGCTCACATACTATTACTTCAGTTTTATATTACTTGCTCTTACATCGTGTGAGAAAGAAAAAATATGGGATTTGGGGATAATAGATTATTTCGAATTAATATACATACAGATTTTAGACAATGTACTGTATATCGTACAGTAAATTTTCATTTTATATGCATACAGCTCTTTTAATGAGAAGGTAGCAAATAAATAACAATTTTCAGTACCTTCACTCCATTCATGAACTACTGGTTGATCATAAGGCTCATCTTCTTCATGATATTTAACAACAAAGGCACGAATGGGAAGTCCTCCATCATCACCAGGGCCATCAAATTCAAATGTGATGGTTGTAGCAGTTTCTTTTGCAGCCCTTACATCTCTTAAGCCAGATGGTCTACCTAAATAAACATATATATAAAGAAAAAATATTTAATTTTTGACTATATATCACACTTTATTCTCAGAAAGGTACATTTATTTGGGGACGGGAGACTTACGTGCTTCTTGTAATTCTATGTTAATAAACTGGCTTCCATGTTTGTTTTCAGCTTCACATCTATATATTCCATACACACTTTGACCACGTTCTGCTGCTGGACGAACCTGAAAGAGACAAAAGTACAATTTCAACTAAGTATCAGTCACTGGAAAAAGAGGAAAAAAACTGCATGTGGCTAAGAAGAGAATGGTAAGTATGGTTTCAAAAAAGGTTAATTAACAGATGTTTTAGTTGAAAAATATGATCTCAATATAAATGTAGAAAACTCCTATCTATTACCTATTTTTAAAATAACTACCTTATACATTATTTTATCAACAGATCTTAAAGTCTGCACAATGAATCAATAAATAACATTAGACAGCAAGAAGTGAAGATGTTGATTTGATAAAACACAACTAAGTTCTAGCAAAATTGCAGCCAGTGCAGTTTCAATATGTAACTCATTTGTACTGAATTTTATATCATACTTCTTTATTCACTTATTGAACTACATAAATTTATCATTTCAAAATTATTCTAAAGAACAAATATGGACTCTTATGAACACACACTCTCTCTCTCTCTCCCTTTTTTAAGACATCTGCTAATATTGGTCAAATTTCTCTAGAGATTTAGGCATATTCCATGCACTACCAACTGCTTTGTTGATTTTTTTCTGCACTACAACTATGTCTTGCACCATATCCCTATTAACTGAACTCTACCCTCTGCCTATTTTCACACTGAAAGACTGCATATACAAAGCACCTCAGAATACAGTGATTAAGATTGCTGTCTCAATGAATTTGTGTCTATTAACTCATTTTCTTTGTTAATACTACATGTTTAGAACTTTTCAAATTCTATCAGTCAGCATGTTAGTTATATAAAATAAGAAAAGTGCCACCTTTCAATTAAATAGGTTCAATCATTACAGATCACATTTTTTAAAATTCCATTGTTTAAAAGATTATGTATAATGTAAATGTTAGTTTAATATCCAAAATGGCTCCTTAGCAATATGTTCCATAGGGATCATGGCCATCAAATGGTATGCACGTTTGTAATAGTAGCTCATACATTACAGCCACTCTACTGGTCAACTAGCATCATGGGAGGAGTAAAAAAAGTTACCTTTGTACATATGTATATGTGTTGTCAGAGGGATGTGAAACTCAGAATCTTCAGAAAATGATGATTAGTTTCAGATAAAGCCAGTTAAATTAAGAGAATGTATGAATGGGTGATATGATTTTAAAATGCAAATACACATTAATGATAAATCCGGTATGTGAAACCAATTAGTTTGAGATAGTGAATCCTGACTATAGGCAAATTAACACTAATGGAATTACTGCAGAATTCAATGTAAGATACAACTCAGCATATGGCATCATCCACGATAATCTAAGTGTAAGAAAAATGTAGAAGACAAGTTGCAAAGCTGCTATCTAATGATAAGTGAACACAGCAGATGATTTATTAGCACCATTTAGTCATTATGCTCATGAAAGAGATGCTTTTTTACATTGATTAGGTCAATTATGAAAAGAAATGAGTCCTGGAAACACCATTATTAACTACAGAGTGAGAGGGGGGGACTAATGCAGTAGAAATACCCATTATTAACTACAGAGTGAGAGGGGGGGACTAATGCAGTGGAAATACCCATTATTTCTAGTGATTCAAGCAAAATATATTTATGCATATTTTGCTATATATTCCTAGTAAAATATTCAAAGCACAGAGTTTGTTGTGAAAAATCCCATTAACAGTCTTTTGGGATGCCAATGATCCTACAATAATGCACTTCCAAGAAAATGAATAAAAATGTAACTTGAGCTTGATAGAAAGAATTATTTAACACTGCATTAAGAATGAAACATTAGGGACTTCTCTTAACACTACAATTATAGAAGTGGTCATTTTGATTGCAAACGAAATTAAATTGTTCAATTTTTAAAATTTTCTTAAATTTTTTAATATTTTTTTTTACTTCCCCCCCCCCCCCCCATTTTGATATTTTTTCCTTATATTTCCTATACATTTATAAGTTAATACATAAGATGACAATAATTTATTTGGCCTGTTTTAAATGATTTTTTTTTCCTTTTTTTCTTTTTTTGTATATAATTGTATATACCTAGAATTATGGCCAGCAGTCATTTTGACTGCTTTTCTTCCCTATTTAGTAAAAAGGTTAACTCGGCTTGCTATACAAGCATCTTAATGCATTTGTTTGAATTTTCTTCCTGTTTTCATGCTACATATTATTCAACAACTGGTTAAAATTATGGTGCTCTCCTTCCCAAAGCAGTAAGGACCCAAATGGGTTTCCTTGTTTTGTGTCACACCTTCATTTCGCTTGCCATTGTTTGAGCATTCTGACCACTTTTATTGTCTATAATTATTTCCTATTCATCATGCCATGTAAAATGTTTGAAAGAAAATATCTATTAGAAAAGACTTACAAAAGTTTTATATACACTAACCAATCGCAGTTCTGGTTCAGAAATTAGTTCCCATGATGAATCTGATATAGGAGTTTATTCTATTTAATCTGATGAACATTGGATTATAACTACAACAAGTGAAACAGATTCATGAAATGATAGCTGTATTATTCCTTCAAAAAGAAAATGTCATAATATTTTACTGTCTGATTCCTAGAAAGAATGGTGCTCATTTATCATTTCCATACTACATTCCAATAAGAAAATAAAGGCAAATTAGATGTTTTGAAAATGAAGAAAATCAGTTAGAAGATGAAGAAATATCAAATGACAGTACAGTGTGGAGAAAGGAAATTATTTCACCAAATTCATTTGGAAGACTTCTTCTTCAAAATGTTTTGTAAAAAGCATGTGGGCCAACTACTTTTGCTTGGAGAAAAATAATTTATGGGAACATAGGTAGCTCATGAAGCCTTTTTATCAATGAAAAAACATCACATCATAAGCAGCACGCACCGCCCAGTAGTGAAATGGCTAGCACGTTGCACAGCTGTTCCACAGGTCCGAGGTTCGATTCCCGGGCTGGGCAAGGTTGACTCAGCCTTTCATCTCTTGAATGGGTCGATAAAATGAATACCAAGTTCGCTGCATACTAAACATTGTGGGTCCTGCAACAAGCTGGCCACTTGCCCAGGGCATATGCTGAGGCACTCCAGAGCCCAAAGTCATGAAAAGGATTTCGGGGCACTGTAGGCCATGCACCACTAGGGCTGTTGCACCGCTGAGTTTAGTTATATGTCACATGCACTGAAGCTAAAGCACATCAAATGCTGGGAAATCTAACCTGGAACTTGCCACTTGATGAGCTATTTCTCTATTATATGCTTATTGCACTTTGACCACCAAAGGAGATAAAGAACCACAAGCATATAACGGAGACAGTAAATAATAGATTCTGTTTAGAGTTAATGATCCAAAATTCTTTAATGAAACAATGCCTAGGGACAGACCTTTGGATATGATAAAATATTTGTGCTTTGACTAAATGACAAAGGTTACAAACTGATCTATCTGCTTTTGCTTCAGAGGTATGGAATATCTTTATTGAAACTTGCTTATTATATTACAAAGCAGATGAAAATATCACAATTTCTGTGTTTCTAAAAAGGTAAGATGCACTTTATTCAGTATATGCTGAAAAACCTGATAAATTTGCAATAAAATTTTGGCCTAATACTTGAATAAAATGGATATCTTTATTAGGGAAAAGATGAAAGCAGACTAGCTGAAGGAACTGCTAGGAAGCATGTCATTTATCGGTTCTACAAGAAATATTACTACAGTCAATTTCTTTACTTCTTTGAAATGATAAAAACATTTAAGGATTAAAAGAGTTATATTGGTACAGTCAATCATTCAAAAAATTTTGTCTAGTGTATAAATATTAAGGGTTTATGCTGTAGAAATTGCTGAAATATAATTTGGTAGAATAAAAAATAAATAACTTTTTTTGAGGAATTTCAACCCTGCAATCCAAATAAATTATAACTCATCTTATTAAAAGAAAAACTTTTAAAATGTCTTTTTTTTTTTTAAATGTCTGAGTTTCTCATTAAATTACAGTCAATATGACCGCTTGTGGTAATTAGAGGTAAACTAAAAATATCACAATGCAAATGTTACTCTTGCCTCACAATATTCATCAGGATTAACATAGTTAATCATAGTTCATGGTTAGCATAGTTAATATCATAGTTCACTTTGTAACCACAGTTAATCATCTAACAATAACAAAAAGCTAAAATAATAATTTTTGCCATATTATTGAAAATAAGTTTTTTTAAAAAATGTTAGCTTCATACAGCTACAGAATTTCTACAAAAGTTTCTAATCAAATATTAGGGGGAAGAAAAAAGACATCATCATTCAAATGACTCTGAACAAGAGAATGCGATACCTGGGAATAAAAGGTTCTTTTCTTTCTTATGGTAATAAAGAAGACTAATGGCAAAAACACAGTAACAATTTGATAAAATATTACACATTATTGTACATATGTTTAAAATGAATCATATAAAAATTAATATTTCAGAACGAACCATCAAATTACTGTGTGCACTGCGTCCATATATAGTGTAAAACTCATCATCTTGAATCTTTTGACCTTGGAATGACCATGTTATAGTTGCATTTGGTATAGATTCAGCAATGCAAGTCAAATTTGCAGGATTTCCACTCCATGTTTTTACAGATGTACTAGGAGTCGAACTCATAACTGGTGAAACTATGCAGGAGAAAAACAAATTAATTCACATGAAAGTTAAAGCAAATATTTAGACGTATTAAACAAATTTGTACTCGGATACATATATGAAAATCAATATATAAAATCAGTCATGCTAGAGACAGATTATCTAATTTAATTACCATAAAATATACTAACTATATCTTATCTAAGGTATGCATTCATGTATATTTTTGTTTGGAGAAAAAAAGGCTAGTATTTGCGTCACACATAGGCAAAAGTAAAAGATATAATAATATTTTTAATAATTAAGCATCCTATGATTTCATCCAATCTTAATACAAACTAAAGAGTAATCGTATCACTTTTGACAGCTTCTAAGACATACATATACAAAATCATGAAATTTATTTTGATCCTCTTTTATACACAAGTTATAAGCATTTTCACATTGATAAAAAGATATTTCACAAAATACAAAACATATGTGAAATCAGCAGCAACATAAAATTTAAATTCAGACATACAAATTTAATACCCAAAAAATTCTTATTAGTGAGTATGATCCCATGAACAGCAATACAGGCCTGAGAGTGATGTCACACATTGTCATGATGTTGTGAATGAGCTACAAGGGTAGCAGTGCCCAATGATACATAAAGCAGTTCTAAGCCCATCTAGGGTTTGAGGAGGAGATTGAAGGCTCTGAGAGCATCTTACACATGTTAAATGGGATTGAGGTCAGGAAAGCATGCTAGCCATTCTATTTGGACCACAGTTTCTTCTTCAAAAAATTGTTGTACGAGGAGAACAGTGTAAGAGCAGGCATTATCTGGTTGCAAAATGAAGGTATTGCCAACTGAGGTAGCATATAGACAAACAATAGTCTAGAGTATAGACTATATAGAGTTCATGTGGCAGCATAAACAGGTCTGTGCCCCCACCTGAAAGACACTCCTTCCCATACAAGAACACTACCCCTGCATGGTATCCCTTTCCTATATGTTGGACAAATAGCAAGTGTTCACTCCTCTCCATAATAAACAGGTTGAGAATCCCTCTGGAAAGCAAAGTGGGACTTATCAGTGAACAGAGCACACCTCCACTTTAATTGAGTTTCCATTGCTAGACGCCCAATTAGAATGCTCCTCCAGTGGCAGGAGGTAAGTGGTTAGCAGAATGCTGGTCACCTAGTATACAGACCTCTTCATGTAGACTTCTGCATACTGTCGTCGTTGATACTGTCCTTCCTGTAGCGTGGATCTAAGCTGAGATGAAGTTGCAGTCCAGTTGTGATGTGCACCAAGTCGCATATATGGTTATCTGCAGAGGTGACAGCTCTTGGTCTACCTTTGTTAGGTCTTCGAGAAGCTTTGGATATCTTGAAATTATTTAATATACTGTCATTCCCTGAATAGCAATTCACTCCTAAACAACTGGTTCAAATATGTAATGCATTTACGTAAAGTGCTAGCAGCACCACTCTTTTGCATACTGCTATTTAATGCAGTTTACTTTTATTTGTAATATATCCTAATTTCAAGAATTTTGAGCTACTTTTACAAGATTATCAATTAAAGCCTTATCACTGAGGTCAGTCTTGTTGAAACAAGAATAATCTTAAGGTGTAAAATACGATAAAAGTATTTTGTGTGTGCATATAAAAATAAATATAAGAAAGGAAGGAACAAATCCTCCTTAAGCTTTATTACATTTTCAGATGTTAGATGCCTAGTCTAACAATAAAACTTATAAAAGCCAAAAGCATATTTTACATAAGGAAGAAGGAATGATAGCCTTTATTCTTACATTCGACTGTCAGATGGCCAGTTCGTTCAACATGTGCCCCTTTGTTTTCAGCTGCACAATAATATAAACCATCATCAGATCGAACAGTTCTTTGAATTTCTAAAGTTAACACAGCTTCATCTGCAGTATCACCTTTGGTCAGAATCACTCTGTCATCCTGGAACACAAAAAATATGATCCTTGAATTATTAATGAAAAGTTAATTTTTAATAAGGTAATCTTTATCATAAGTAATATTTCCACAGCTGCTATTGTATAAAAGGGTCAGTAATCTAAATACATGAAATGGTGAATAAAAAAGTCATTAAGGTAAGTATAGTAATGCATTAATCAATAGCAGCTAATCACAGTATGAAAGTTAGTAAGTCTTTAATGAATATATTCATTTTCAAAAGAAGTATGATTAAAAAAGTAAAAATTTAAATGCACTGAAATTCTAAAAAGTCATGCAAGATATTACTCATATCTGAACATTTTTAATAATAGTTATTAACTGAAATTTTAAGCTCTGAAACGAATACCCCAGGAAAATCTTATGCCAGTGCTTAAATAGTGTTATTTATTTACAAGAATTAAGAATTACAAATCTGTTTTATCAATAACAACATATTATATTTTATAAATTCTTGGATTTTATAATTTACAATGAAGAAAAAATAGCAGAATAGTTTAAATACTTCATCATCAAATGGCTTATCTTGTCCTTCTTTTCTGATAGTTAATTCAGGCAGTGGATCTCCAGTAGCATAACATTCCAACTTAGCTTCTTTATTCTCAACAGATGTATAATTGTTAAATACTGTTATTTCTGGCTTAACTAAAAAATAAATAAAAATGAAACAAATATTAATAAATATGCTAAAGATATATTATTAACTGCTGCAGGAACTTATAGCAGAAACTGATATATATCACATGCAGGATGAAATCTGAGGTAAGAGAGAGTTTTACTAGAATACAAGATGTCATACAATGTTAAGTGCACAAAAAGGTCAAAATAAAACAGTGTTCACAGTATTTCAACCAACAGTAGTTAATATGTGTAGAATTCCAATTATTATATTAAATTAAATTTATATATATTATTTAGCGATATTTTAGTAACAGCCTACTCTCTATGTATTATCTCCAAGAAGAATTCCAATTTTCTCATCAATTTAGGCTAACTTTCTTAAATAGAAAACTGCACTTTACGACAACCCTTTTACTTCCATCATTTAACACTTGAATTTCCAGCCATTTGGTTTTAAAATTTTGAAAGCAAGTTTGTTAATTTTAACTTACTAGTTTGATCTTTAAATTTCTAATTAACTACTTGTTTTAAACTTTAATTTTAAGATTGTATCATTTTTGATCTACTTTTGATTTTGAATTAACTTTTAATGTTCTAACATGTTTACTTATGTTTTCGAGTTTTAAAATGAGAGTGCATGGGATATGTATTCTAAAGTAAGCATCTTGTTCAGATTAATTGTGTTCTTAATGAGAAACTTTTAATTTTATGATTATTTGCTATTTTGTTAAACAGGATTCTTTGGGCTTAAATGAATAATGTCTATATTTGGATTGAGTATTAATTGTGACTTATGGTTTGGATCTAGCAAATAATTTGATGCTTACTTAGAAGTAAGACGAAACACTCTCTGTTAATTTAGTTGTTGTTAATTGATGGTATATTGGTTTATCCCCTTGATAGGTTGATTAATCTGCGATCAATGACAATAGCTACTTTTTCAATACTTAAAATTTTTACTTTTGGTTTTCGTATTTTGGTGATTAAAGATTTTTTTAGCAGGTTTTTTATGGTTTTAAACGTGATTGAAATTACTATTTAAAATAATTCTTTAAATTCTGACTAAAAAATTTTTTTTCATGGTCTTAAATTAAATTTGTATTCCTTGGAGATGGTAATATGGAAAGTTTTTTTATTATAAATTATTATGAATTATATATATATATCAATAATATTATATTAATATTTTAATATAAAATTATTTTAAATTAAACTTCCCATGTGAAGTATGCATAGCTTGAACACAGCAATATTTTACAATATTACAAATTTGTGCATGATTTGTGGTATCTCAAAATTAGCTACTGCCAATTTGCTGTTGATTAGTACTCTTATTGATAACATATACTTTGCATGTTACTAGTTTATATTTAAATGTTTCAGAGGGTAGAAAATTATAAGTAATAAAAAATACATTTAAAATGCTGCATTATAATTCAATGACATATCTTCTTTTCACCCTCACAAACATACGAAACAAAATTGCTGCAGACATTGCTTGCATCACTAACATTAGAAAGAAATAGTAATGTTAAAAATATCTCAAATACCAAAATTAAAGCATTGATAACAAAGAAGAAGCAATAAGATTGCCTTATAATAGAAATGTAATTGCAAGTAATAAGATTAATTCATGGTAGCTTTAGCTAATGTATGATTATTCTATAAAATTTTTATGGTGTATAACAACGGTTCCTTAAGTATGTTAACAAAAAGTTTGCATATGCTTTTTTTATATTGAACAATTATAGATATTTACCTGTGATTACAAATTAATTTATACCTATCAACAGATTGTTAAAGATTGTGTACACTTATTTCTTATAACTTCAATATTAAATTATTTTCTTCTTGGAATCTCCTCCAACTTTTTTATTAGAATAATAGTATTTAGGAAAGGCTACTAAAAAATAATTGGAATAACAACACTGCATGTGAGCATTTCATAATTAAGGATTGTTGTGCTAGGCCTAGTCAGCTTATGATTTCCTGCACCAATGGCAATGGCTCGAGTAGAGTGGTTCATCCTCGGTGCTCATTTGCATGTTCACTAGCTTGCAATGTTTTGCCATTTTCCTGATGTGCAACCACCAATTTGTGTGCAAAATTTTATTTATTTATTGCGAGAAAACTGCAACTAAGACTGTTGTTATCTTTCAGTAAACTTTAAATCCTAAGTGTATGAGTGGTTTTCCATATTCCAAACGGCAATATGTCAAATGATGACTGGTATGATCTGGCCATCCACTAACAAATAGAAATGATGAAAACACTGAAAAAATGCAATATATTGTATTATTACCGTATTCATTCGAGTAGCCACCCCTCCCCTTTTACTAATTTTATCCTATGAAAATAGAGAGGGAAAAATTATATGAATAATTTAATTTCCAAAAGATGCAGTTACAGTAAGAACATAAATGAAAAATATTTATGGATAAACTATCTGCAACTACCACAATATTATTTAATTAAAATGAAACTTCTATTGCAATAAAAATACACAATATATTAACACTATATTATCTTTTAAAGATGTCTTCATTTCTATTTCCCAGTATCTTGAAACTTGGCCACATTTGCTCTTATGAACGCAATCTCTAGATCTCAAATTACTGTATTTGCAGGAGTACCCCTTTTTTTATATACATTTTTGAAGGATAAAACTTTAATACTTATCATTATAATGAATTTACAATATTTTAAATATAAAGTAATACTTTCTGCAAATACCCAATACAAGGTGCGGCAAAATGATAGGTACTATTTGGTATGCAAATAAAAACCGAAACACGTAAAGCAAATATTTTTTTTTATTTCTTTTTTAAATCTACATTTCATGCCATTTAGGAACGTTATTTTTTTTTAATGATATCTTTTAAATGATAACCATTATTGTCGATGCACTCTTGTAGGTTCTTACGGAAGTGCATCATTACTCAATGGATAATTTGATGGGGAATTGCGGCAATTTCTTGTCTTATGGTTGCCTTTATTCTTCCAAAGTCCGGGAACGATGTGTAAAAACTCTCGATTTGAGGTAATCCCAAAGAAAAAAGTCGCAGGGCAACAAATCTGGCGAACGCGGCGGCCAGCCGAGATCACCCCGTAAAGACACCACTTTGTTTGGAAACATTTCTTGAAGAAGATTAAGTGAACAACGCGTGGTATGCGAAGTAGCACCATCCTGCTGGAACCAAAGATGTTCCAGCAGGATTTTCTTGGTGATTATTGTTCAACTTGTTAACTTTAGGATGCAGGAAATTGTTAAGCATATCAAAATATTGATCTCCATTGACTGTTACCATTATTCCATCTTCTTCAAAAAAGTAAGACCCCACATGCCGAACTCAGATATTGCACACCAGAAGAACCTTCGGACTTTGGTGAAGTGGTCGCTCATGAAGTTCCTGTGGATTATTTGCCGACCAATAATGGAAATTTTGCTTATTTACGGTACCTGATAGGTGAAAGTGAGCTTCATTGCTAGACATGAATACAGCACCTCAGGGAATGTTTTGAAGAATATCCTGGCATGAATTTGTACGGGTTTCAAAATCTCTTTCATTTAATTCCTGCACTACCATCATTTTGTACGAATACATTTGGAGTGAGTTGTGTAAAATTCTTTGAACACTTCTATCGGAAATTCCCAAAGCAGCTGCATGCTTACGAGCTGAACGCCTTGGAGACTGTTGTACAGAAACTCTTACTGCATTCACATTTTCCGGTGTTCTTACTGTCCTTGGTCGGCCAGTAAATTTTTGTTTAAGCACAGAACCTGTTTCCCTGAAGTGTAAAATACACCGACGAATTGTTCTTCCATCTGGAACCGTGCCATGCTGACCAACATCAATCTGATTACGGAAGCTGCGGCACGAAATGGGGAATCTGTAATAGCGGCATGCTGCGTGGCTATTACAGATTTCCCATTTCTAATAAAGTTTGAAGTGTAATATATAACCACAGAAAATATCACTGTCATGTAATTAACTTTATACCAACAGAATTTAATATTATAGCTTTGTTTGTTTACATCTCTCTTTGTGAATAATGACCTGTGCATTCTTCAAGTGTTTATGTTCTTTCTTTCTCTTTTCTTTTCCCCCCAATTTTAACATTTTATAGCTGTTTACATTTAATTTCTGGTAAAAAAATATTAAAATAGATTAGTATCTGGCACATAACTTTATATTTAATTGAACTACAGATATAGAACTCTACAGTATCAAACACCACAAAAAAATTTTTTTAATCTATTTATTTGGCAGGTAGGGAGGGGAGAAAAAGTACATTTCCTTCCCTTAAAGAAAAGGTTAGGGATTTTAAAGAACATCAGTCTGCAAGGGTCATAACTTTGGAACGGTTTTACTATAAGAAGATGGTCTGATGATTAATATTTTATGATAAGTAATCTTACCTATGACTGTTAATTCTAAGCTTCGCTTAGCATCTCCAGCTGGGTTTTTTGCCAAACAAGTGTAGCGACCCCGATTTTCTCGTTTTACATTATTAATAGTCAAAGTACCAGTGTCAGCATCCACAACATGTCCTTCAGCAGTACTCAAATCTTTTTGATCCTATGGAGAAAAAATGAGATATTTAAAGATGTCCAGAAGATAAAATTAGATGCAAGATTTTTTTAAAAGCATTTATACTAAGTGAAGTGATGGTAAGCAGTGTAATAATTTATTGTCAATAATTTAATGTACAATAATTTATTATCAAATGATGATCAATTTAAATAGCTTTTAAGCAGATATGGAAAACGTCTGCATCATAGATAAAGTAATCAATTTTTCTCTCTTACTACAAATAAATGAATCTAAATATAATTTAGTTAAGATGCAAGATATGTCAATCCAAAAACATTTTGTCTAAATTAAGCCCAAACATTTTCTAAGTAGATAAAGGATTTTAATGCTTTCCAGAATTTTTTATATCAAATACGTAAACTTACAAAGTTCCACTTACATAAATTTAAACAGCATAGAGAATAATTATTAAAAAAAAAAATGGGACTAAGTTTTAACAAGAATTATCACAGAGTAACACATGTTAATATTAAATACATGACAAAAGTACTATATGTGTCTTGACTGCTAATTTTAAAGACAGGTTTATGAAGTCTCTGTCTTAAAAGAAAGGGGATCCCAGATGTTCAAGTAAGATGGGCCTCACATTTCATAAATCTACCATTGGCTAAGCCACCCAAATGGGATAGTGGTTAGTGTCTCTGACTGCTGTACTGAAGGGTGTGGGTTCGAATTCCAGAGAAGGCACTGACATTTGTAAATGTATAATATCTGTGTGGCATGAGGACACTCTAAAATATGCAGCCATCTGAAGTCTTCTCGAGAAGCTGGTGGTAAGGAAAGAGGAGTGAGGACCCTCGATACCGCCCCCCCTAGGGTGCTCTCCTTCAAAATTGGGGGTGGAACTAAGCAAAGTCATACTATCATCTGTATGGTGTTTAAAGCTATTCCCAACAGCAGGTGTTATCTTGCACTCCTTGCCACGATGAATTTCGTGGGCCTTTTCTGAGTCCAAGTGAGGTAAATCAAACACCAGTGGATGATATTATTTAAATTTAAGTCTAATACAACAATGAACACTTACAGGATCAAACCATGCATAAACAGGTCGAGGAAAACCACTAGCTTGACACCGCATTACAGCCTCATTACCTTCCGTAGCTTCCAGTTTATCATCTAATTCTATGATTTCAGGAGGAACTAAAAAGAATGAAAAATTGAATAAGTATATATAAATAATAAAAGTAAATAAAAATCATACAAAATGTAGTAAAAGAGATTAATGGTAAGAGAGCAAGCTGTTTTTGTAAGCACAAAAGCAGCTTGACTAAGGCTAATTTTTCAAAAATTTTTACAAGTAGCCTTCCTTTTCAATTCAATTTAACTTTCTGTGAAAATTTATTGTTTAAATTTTTATTTTGATTATATTTTTCACTGTATTTTAGTGATTACAAATTTTTCTTCGATCTTTGGATTTCTTATTTACGTAATTTAAGATTATGATTTTCAGTATGTAAGATAAAACTCTACATTTAATTTGCAAAGTCTCCTTTTTAATTTTATCATTTTCCTTTTTCTATCCTATAAAAAGTTACATGCTTATAATAAATCTCTCTGAGCTGGGTCATTTCAAGATTAATTCTTGTTATGTGATTCTGATATAATGCTCACAACACATGTACATACACAAATATTTCAACCAATAATAACATTCAAATCTGAAAACTAATTTTCCTATTTTGGTTACTATTGCTACCAGTTATCAGCTATGCTACCTATTCTAGCTATTAAGCTACTTATTTTGGTAGACCACTGTTAATTCAATATACATGAAAGAAAAAAATATGTTATAACTTGAGCATTTTTATGATAAATATTTTCTTGGGAATTTTAAAAATGTTTTCAGAAATTCAATGTATACGATCAAAATAAATGAAAATTCAACATTCTCAAAATTTTTGTTTCTCATCATCCTTTTTTCAAAGCCTACAAATAAAGTAAAACAAAAAAAATTTAGATACTTTTCCATTTTGCCGGCGCAAATCGCGCCAAGCAGACTTTGTTGGCGACAACATACAGTAGTATACACATAGAAAATGCTAGTTCCAAGAATTTTTTATTTTGAAGGCATAAACATTTTAATACGGTTTAAAATTTTGTAAAAAGCCAATAAATAAAGACAATAAATTTGTAAAAAGACATTAATTTAAGAATTTATTATGCTTTCATGGTTCAACATCCTGATTCACCGATTTGTATCACGTGACCCCAAGTGCTTAACCGCTAGTGCATTCTCATTAGAATTGATGAATTTAACCCTAGATTTTGCCTTTTCTTTATTTTCGCCTTCGGGTGAGCAGTGTGATTGCACTCTAATTGACTTAATTACCGCGAATGGTCTTAGGGCATAAAATTTAACTATCTTGTATGGCAGTATTGAAAGAAACAATCAATCTGATAAGAAATGGCTGCAACTTGCTTTGAAAATGAGGCGTAAAAGGTTACCAGCGAAAATATTCTGTTTGGCATCAGCTGTACCATTGTGGGTGACTTTATCGTTTGCGCCGGCAAAATGGAAAATTACCAAAAATAATTTTATTCTTAGGCTTTAAATATTATTTAAAGGGCCCACAGTGGCCGAGCGGTAAAAGCCGCTGAACACTGGTAGTTCGAGTCCCGGCGAACGGGCTGGCTGCATGAGCATTTTCGTGTTTTTCCCCATGTGTAACGTGGATACGAGCCAGTTTCGTGGATACGAGTATAAAAAATGAATTGACAGATATTTTTTAAATCCACTATGTTGTTTACTTAAAAATAATACATGGTGACAGCAGCTAATGATAACATCATTTTATTTGGAAAGTGACATAACCGGGGGATTAATCTAATATAGACTAACTTGGGGCTAAAAATGACATATTTCGAGAACTAAATGCTTAGCTTTTACTAGTACACATACATACTTAGCCAAATTTTGGGAATTAGAAAAAATTCATTTAAAGTAATAATAATAAATTTAAAATGAATTTTTATTTAAGAAAATGTGAATAAGATTTTCAGAAATGCATTCCCTTACTGTTATGCTTGTGTAGAATTTAGGCAAAATCAGGATTCTAAAGCTTGCTAACAGCCAAGACCACTAATACTGGTATATTGTTCTGGGGTTCAATTCCTGGTGATTGAATGAGCTAGCTACATGAGGTTTTAGTTTTGTTTCTCATGTATGATGATATTAAGCAAGTTACCTATGTAAATGCATTCATTGCCAGGGTAAATGAATGTCTTCCAGATAATACCTATGCATGCTTGGCAATGAAGTTGTTAAAATCTTTCACAAAGGTACTTCTTCTAAGGCAGATACCCATTTAGTGTTTTCTAATAATGATCTTCAACCATTCCACTGATGTATGCTTTGCAGTAAGGATGACGTGATGAAACAATGATTGGCCTTCTGTTATTATTTGAGACACACACACACACACACACACACACACAACACAAAAAAAAAAAAAAAAAAAAAAAAAAAAAAAAAAAAAAGCATTTCTCAGCAGTGTAATCTAGCAGAAAAATCAAACATGACAGGAAATGGCATTTTCTGTGCTTGTCTTCCAAAACTTGCGGCATCTACTTCACATACAACTTAAGAAATCCCAGATGACCATGAATGATGAAATACAAACTTCTATTGATATTTTCCATTTTTAGGTTTCGTATGAAATGCTCAACGTACTGACAATTTTTGTGATTTTTCTGTTACTGAATTATCATTTTAATGCTGGCAACAATCCTGATCCAAAGTGATGGAGACTAATGACTCATCCTCATGATATTCATCAGTAAAATTTATGAGACCATTTTCATACTGTTTGTACCCTACAAACTGGCAGGTGTGATACTGCATGCTCATTTTATATAGCAGAGATTTCATAACGAATGCCAACGCAATTTAAGGATCTGGGTCTCACGGCAACATGTTGTTAAATAATGCCAAACATTTACTTACTTTTGGGTTCATCTTAGTATTTTTCTCTTAAGCTATAGCATAAGGAGAAATTTTGATACATAATTGAGAAAAATTACAATTGTTATATGCACTTATAAATCAAGAAATGCCTTTCACATCTAATACCTGAACTACTCAGCACATACACATGAAAAAAGATTATATCAATGACGCCCCCAAAATTACTCACCATGAACCTCAACTTTAATTTCTCTGTTCTGGAATCGACCAGTCTGTGATACCATTGCTCGGACAGAATAATCTCCTTTATCCTCTTCAGTTACACCTGTGACTTGAACACCATCAACTTCAATTTTATATTGCTCAGGATTGACAGGTTGACCATCTTTAAACCAGGATATAGTTGCTGGTGGATTAGCTGAAACTCTACATCTAATCTTGCCATTATTACTAATTACAAGGGCTTGTTTAGTAGGGCAGTCTTCCCAAGTTATGTCACCTATATTAATTACATTAAAACAATACATTTATGTTAATAGAAAACATTATAACATATTTCATAAAAGATAAATAAAAAAAGTTCTTTAGTTCATTGCAGTATATGCTAGTTGTGACTATATTAAGGTTACATAATAAAACAATCTTAAATTCAGTGGTTTTTCACATGCTGTAATTACATTTGCATGATTGTTCTTTATACTAAAAAAAGCTTGACAGCATCAAGATTACTACAGAGAGCATGTCCATTTCCAAAGTTGTTACATTTAACCCGTTTTCATGCTCTCACCAAAACATATATTATTAAACTGCCAAATTATTATGATCATCAAAACAGTTACTCAGCATATAATATAATGCTGCTGATATCTGAAATTGGAAAGCAATTTTAAACATTAAGTCTGAGATCTGAAATCATTAGGACCTCAGCCATTCCAGATTTTAAATCATCAGTTTTAATTTAGTAAGATGGCATGTAGAAATTATGAAATAATGAATTAATAATGACATTACAGAAAGCAAAATTTATATATATATATACTTTACACAGAAGAGGATTAAAGTAAAAATTAAACTAATGCTTTTATATGACATACAGAAATTATAAAATTAAAAATCTTAATAGTTGTTTATGAAATAATGAACCATTTATGACTTTAAGGGAATTGCAATACATGTAAGATATAAAAATATGAAGAAAAATTTATTACCAAATTAAACTTAACTGGAATGGTCCTTTAAATAATTAAATTTAATTGCATCTCCTCTTTAAGAAGATTCTTTAATCTTATTACATCTTTACACTGCGCTTTCATTGCAATAACCACAACGGCAAATCTTTTGCCCATTTGCTGCTCCGGTTTAAAACAAAGTCTTTCCAAGCTTATAAATAATACTGCAACTAAATATGCATTCTCTTTCACCACTCTGCCCACCAGCTGGCAACATATTGCTTAGCCTTTGCTAGCTATTCTCCCTTGCATAAGATGTTCTTGTGTATCATATAAAATCTACTTTTTTTTATTATAACATTTATTGCAATATAATGCTGTTTAAGCAATTTCTTCCCCTTTGTTTTCTTCTTTACATTAATATCTTTTGCTCTAATTTTTCAGATAGACATAATTTCTTGCAAAGTTACAAAATTCCATTGTTAAAGAATCCTTACGCCATGTCAAGAATTTCCATTAAACTGAAATCTTTCCATTCTCAATAACCTATTAGCCACTTTCTTCCACTATTAGTATATTTTCTGGATTTAAAAGCCATACTACATATTTCTCTCTCTGTTAGTTGACTGGAATTGGAATGAAAAGGAAAATTTCTATTGTATCAACTTCACTTATATCACTTCTCCACATTTTATCACAAATTTCCCATTAACTGGAAGATGTAACCTTTTCCTTGTGATATCCAAAAACCTTCAAATTCACAGCAGTCCTTTTTATCATCATCATTATAAAGTATGGTAGTTAGACAAATTGTTTCAAGCATTTAAAAAAATATCTACAAATATGTTCTCCTATAAAACCTTGCAATGCTTCACACAGCAGATTTTATGACAAAATATTTTAAAATTAATAGTCTTGCCACTGATCAGGAAATTTATTACAGATTTTTAAAGGGTTACTTATCTACATTTCAGCCTACAGCATTTTTTGATATCCATTGGTTAAATGACAGATGTACCATCTGGAGAAAAGAATAAGAAGAATCATTTTTTACTAAAAATAAAAATGAAATATGAGCCAAACAGTCATCTGCAATCAGGACAGTTTTTGCATCATCAACTAAACCAACCGATTTCAAATGTCGCCCGCCTATACACGGGTATGATTCATCAATGTTTATGCCATCCATGCTTTTTTACTTGAACGACAGATGACAGACAAAAACCTTTATTTCTTTAAATGGTGGAAGTAATGCTTTTTTGGGGGAGGGATTATGAAAAGTTTACACCTATGCATTTCTGCAGCATTTGCATATGCTAAAATCATTAGTCTCACTTAGGAATCTTTGACACCAGTTGAGGCCTTTTCTACAGATGCCACCAATGTATTTTGGGGCACATTATTGCCAGAAAAGACTATTTTCATCAGCATTATAATGAATTCAATAAATTCATCTGCCAATTGTTAAGCTTCTTCAGTATCAACTAAAGATTTTAAACCTGAAATTTTTAGCCTTATGACATGGCAATTTTGTAATAACTTGTCAAATATGTACACTCAATTTTTAAATCCACTTGCTCATGAAATATTTTGGCTTGAACCATTAGCATTGGACCAATCAATGGCATGCCTTCATTATGATACCATCTCATTCATTCAATCATCACTTTCTCATGGTCATTAGCATAATGAATGACTTTTCTGTTATTCACTGCAAGTGGAATGTTCGAATCCACAAAGATTCACCAAGTTATTTCTTCTTTCTTTCGTTGTCACACACTGTTGATTTTCTAATGTGATAATGCTTGCATGATTTTTAAACACATATGCCTCCATCCAATTTTTTTAGCAATGCAACTTTTTGTTCGGTTGATATCAAAACATGCTTTTGCTTTGCAAAACCTGCTACAACTCTAAAATTCAGAAACTCTTTTTGTTAAGATTGAAAATTCAGACTTTAATTTTGATAAGATGCCAGTAACAGTAATGGCTTTTAAAAAAATAATAACTTGGATCAAACTAGAAATCTAAAGAAGAATGCAATTTGCTATGTTAACTAAACTTAAGTTTCATGGAATCAGATTGTTTCCCCCTTTCCTGCTGTCAACAAAAGAAAACCAACAGAGCAATATCCCACTGCAAATAAATATGCCTTACAGCTTCACTTATTATTAAAGTCAGAGATAAAAATGCTAACTCCTCCACAACCACTTTTCGCCGCCGCAAACGTCGCCAAGCAGCTAAATTGGCAACAACACACACAATCCACATGAAAAAATGTTAACAAATATTAGTTCTAAGAATTTTTTACTTTAGATGCATAAACATTTTAATATTGTTTCAATTTCTTTTTCCCCCAAATGGGTCATCTAGCGGAATTTATATGGAGAAGAGATATTCCGCTAGATACTTATCTAGCGGAATTTATATGGAGAAGAGAAATGTGGTCAAAGGTGGGAATTAAGCCCACACTAATAGACATGGTGCTTAATGCAACAGTTTTATATTTAAAATATTCTAATTTCATGTAACAGAAAATTTGTTTTCCTTTCCCCAAGAATTTATTAACTGTGGAATACTATACATTGGAATGGTTAAATTTTTCTTTCTAGATATGAAGAAACAAGATAATACTCAATATTAGATATTAAAATATAGCAAAGAAAATTTTTTAAAATAAATACAAATAATATTTCAATTACTTACGATAAAAAACTAATTGCAATCCAGCATTTAATCTGTCAATATTATCATACACAGCACTACAATTATACATTCCACTATCTTCAGCAGTTGGAGATTTAAACATAAGAAGAAGTGCACTACCAGCTTTTGAAACTTCTATAGGACCTGAAGTACTATTAAAATAAAATGATTAAGATCATTAGCTAAACATTGTCAAAGTTATTCACATTTATAAATTAAATGATTAGCAAATAAACAAGAAAGCATGGTACTTATGGAAAATCCCATCGACCATTTTTGCCTATAAAGAAAAAGACACCAAACTATGCGATTTTTCTCCAAAACATAGTATAGTCTTCTTCGAACCCACTGGGTTTAGTGTAACCTTGATTACACATGGTAGCTATTATTCTTGAGTAAAGACCCCTTTTTTCCTCTGTATCGTGCATTTTTTGGGGGGGAAAAATTGAAAATAATTGCCAAACCTAGCGAAATAATAATAAATAAATAAAGCGAAATAACCTAGTGAACCTAGCAAAATAACCTAGGTAATAAAATCTAGCAAAAATAATTGCTTTTACAGTATATCTCCTTAATAAAAAATAATGGAAACTTTTAATACCTGAAAATTGAAACTAAGCACTTTTAAGGTCCATTAATGAAAAAAATTAAGGACCTATCAGCAAAGGAAAATTATCTACACCTGAACTTCACTTTTGTAATGCCATTCTGAGAATAAAATAAATATGGAAGCAGAATATATTATTATAAAAAAATAATCTAATACTTAACTATAAAACAAATTTGACAATAAAATCCTTCAGTTCGACATATTTGAAAGAAGATTAGTGACATTTGACTAGCAATTAGTTAAATGTTGATTCTTTATTTTATGTCTCGTTTCATCATGTATTCTCTCAGTTCAGAGGTTTATGAAAATTTTATGTCAAGCGGCATAGGTTAAACTGAGAAATAAAATCATAACCAGCATGATTCGTAACAGGAACTTCGCTGTTGCCACCGCTGCTGCTTAGTAAGAGAGAGAGACAGTTGCTGAATGCCAGATGCAACCATGGTTATGGCCAAGATTAGTAAGTGTCTAAAGTTGTGCTTTGTCCGTCTGACACAGTTAGTGCAGTAGCTTTGAAACATAAAGTTCCAATAAGCCACTGAAGCACTACAGGTAGTAAATTGTTTAATGTTATTTTTTTATTAATTTTTATATTTTTGTGTTCTATTTTATGTCTACAGATTAAGAAAACATGATAACTCAATACGAGATAATTTCGAAGGGTGAGCAATTAGATATAAATACTTGTAGTTAGTAGTACTTCTGAGTAATTACAGATTTACATGGTCACTATTAATTATTTTTATTTTTAAAACATATTCATTAAAAAATATTATTCAAATCTTAGTCTAAGAACACTGTATAGTTTAAAACAAAGATAATTATGCATCTAATTTATCATATTGATTCTAAAACAATATTAGTATAATTACACAAAAAAGCTACAAAACATGTATACTTTGTAGCAATAATACATAACAAAATATTTATACATCTTTTTAATTTAATTTCAAGATATTTTTGCTAATTTACATCAATTTTCTCTTTTTTTGGTTCAATAAACAAATCAATGTTCTCACTAGCCTCTGCTTCATCCCCTAATTTGTTAATGGTTTACAATATACCTTTGAAAAATAATTTTCTCTACTTATGTAAACAATTTCTTTCTCGATAAGTGTCCTCTATATTTTAGAATTTGGAGATTTAATTGAAGATCTCTGTTATTCTAAAGACCTGCCTGCATTTAGAATGCATAGAAGATGCTAATTTTAATTTCTTTAATAATATGAGTATTGGGAATAAATATAAAATGATACATGGCCAGTTGCAGTACCAGAGCTGCAAAATTTCCAGAAGTTTATGAAGCAATTGAGCAATTAAATTTAGGGATGGCAGAATATTTAGAATTTGGGACAGACATTGGGCAGCAGAATATAGGACCCACAGATGTTGCACCAAGTGGCAAAATGTCCAGTCTATAGTACAGTGAAGATGAATTTTTTAAGTTTTCAGTTTTCAATTTCTTTATCAACAAAAAAATTCTTTTCTACATGTGCTTATACATGTGACAAGATAAGAACTATTTTTGCAATTTTTCATGCTTGAGTCTAGCAAAAAAAATGAGATAATAAAGGAAAGATAAACATTAAAGAGAAAGACTTCTAAGATCAAAGGTATAATTCAAATAACTGCTTTCATTGTTCTTCCGAAAATTTTCTGTAAAATCAAATTTCTTAAAACCCACTCTCATTATGCATTAATACACTGGAACTATTTTACATTTAGTTATATTTTTCTGAAATCTTCTGGAATCATTGATCTGTAAATCGTGCTTTCAAATCCTTCTAAACCTTCCAAGGTGCAAGATTTAAAAGTATCTCTGCCAGTTCTGTAAGAGCAAAAGGTCAAAGGATTTTGGAATGAAAATCTCAGAAAAGTGTAAAGAGAATTTTTAAGAGAAAACATTTGAATATTCTAAAACAACTACATGAGAGGAAAAACTCCAATGAAAAGATACAAAAGAAGTAAAATGAAATTAATTTTAAAATAACAAAAGTAGCTTCTGCTAAGAAGTGCTTCAGAAATTGTGTTTCTTAGCATTTATTATCTTATTTATTTTTCAGAATCAAGTCGCCAAAATGGAAAATAATGTCATTTTAAAGTACGAAATTGGAAAATAAAAATGTTTTATGTTAAAGCAATTTCTTGGATACAGTTTTCACATATACCATTTTCAAATGATATTTATCAATTTTATCAGGTTTTTATTTAAAAAAAAATTGAAACATTCACAAAATATCCGGATAAAAAATTTTGTACATAAATTTGCCTCAAAACCCCAAAATGTTGATAAATTGTCTATTTCAATATTGCATAATAAAAGAATACATATCTCATAAAGGGAAAGGATGTTTCTCATGCAATATTTTGTGAACTTTTCATTCTCAAAAAAGAAATAATTTTGATAAGTTAATGTTTCGACCAAGGCAGGATTCCTTGTGCCTATTTAGTATGAAAGAATTGCAATGATATTCCGTCAGATACATATTTGTCAAAGAATTGAAAAATATTTCTCCAAAATATTCATTCACGCTCAAAATGATAGCCATAAAAAATAGACAAAAATTTCAGATGAGTGAAATTAAGGACCTTTTGCCAATCTGAATCAAAATTAAGGACTTTTAAGGAGCAAAAATTTCTAAGGACCTTTAAAAACTTTTAAAGACCATATAAAGCAGAATAACTACTTCTGAATAAAGAAATTTTTTGTATAAAATTTAGCTATAAAACACAATGGCACTAATCTTATATGTATAAACAAGAGAAATCTCCGCAGTTTTTAATTAAGCTATATAACAACCATTGTTAAATATTAGAGATGGACTTTCTATTTACTTCAAATTAAAAAAAAAAAAAAAAAAAGGAGAATACAGTTTTTTAATTCACAGATAAAAATAATAAAGATATAAACTTATATCATACCATTTTGTAAGGATGGTTATAAAATACTTTTAATTATTGAATAAAATTGTACTGCATGTTTTGTTAGATTAGAAAATACAGTAAAAGATCAAGAATTCACTCATCACACAGCCTTTCAACTTGCAGTTAAATCAGATTGGGAAAATACAAAACATTTGCAATTAAAAACTCTCCCCTCCGAGCTCACTTTATTAATGAACATCACTTCCTTTTATGTGCCTGCTTTGATATGTCTGTATTTATTCTATTTTTTCTTCAGTCTTAAGAGCATTTTTAACTTTTTTTTAAATGATACAAGTATTATAATTAGAATAATAACTAAAATTAATATAAGTATTAACACTTCTTTCCCCCCCATGATGTGAAATCAACAAAATTCTATAAAATCTGCACTACTTCTGATTCCAAGCTATGCAGATTTCTGGTCTTCTACAATAAATGCATTTGATTCATTTTAAAATTCTTACATGAACTGAGAAACTATTTCAATATAATTACCCTTCTACTAATTCACCCTTGGGGCCAAACCACTTCATTTCTGAAAAAAGATCTGTGGTTTCTGCTTCTCCTTGACATGTTAAACCAAAACCTTTACCAGCAGGTTGACTCTGTTTATCACCAGCTGGATTAATAATAAGTTTAGCTCCTTGAATAATTTCTAATAAATAACCTGAAAAGAAAAAAAGATTTATAAAATTAGAAGTAAACATGCAATTAAATGCATTATGTTGAACATCTCAAATATATATAAAACAAAAGATTTCTTCCTGAAATACATTCAAATATTTCAAATTCCTTTTTTTTAATCCAAATTCATTTTGTAATTAATGGCAAATAATGAAAGACCTTTATTAAATTATTCAAGTTCAATAATTCTCCTGAGTTATTAATGCCAAATAAAGACAGAACTTTGTTAAATTATAATAATAAGTTTAATAGTTCCCTTGTTATTAATACTAAGATAGTTAAACAGACTTATATTTCATTAATGAATTTTAGGTTTTTATTTTTATTTATTTATTATATCTATTAATAATAATATTTTGGTTAAGCATTTTATGTAATTTTATATCATAGGGAAAACATTAACATTATACAAGAACACATTTAAAAGTATAAAACTGACATCACCCACTGGCATCTAGCTGTTTTTTTTTGTCTTTAAATTACAACATTTTATATTTGCAGAGATTAAACTGGCACCATACCACTTTATTTTGCTCACTAATACTTACAAATAATTTTAAGGATAAAACAATTCCACTATATTTTAAATAATTCACGGCATTTATTCTGAACAACAAATTTTTACCTCATGCCCCCAATTTTGTAAACTGCCAAATGTTACATGTACGGTGAGACAATACATGTAACTTCATTCAAAGTTTTAGCTTAGTTCAAATACATTAAATTATTATTTTTTGAAAGTTTTATAGGCTTTTGAGTACTGTGCATAATGTAGTAATAAATCTTTTCAAGCTGGCTACAGAGACAAAAAAAAACTTCCTGTCATCCAAATTATGCCGAAAGTTAGATTAGCCAAATCTTTTAATAATAATAATAAAGAAAGAAGATGCCAAGAAGTTAGATTAGACAGATCTTTAGGTTCTTTTTCTACCAGGAGTATTAAGGAATAGATGCCAGCTTTAATTGCTACTCGAAAAAAAAAAAAAAAAAAAAAAAGACATTCAATGTTATCTGGGGGGGGGACAAACCTCTATTTCCAGTCATGCAGTATAGAAAAATAGAGACAACATAGGTTCTTAAAAAAAAAAAAAAAAGAAAGAAAAGAAAAGAAAAGAACTGAAAATCCTTATGTCTTTTAACAAGCAACACTAATATTCATCAGCTACAAAATACTGCAATCAAAATATTTTGTAGACTACAATGTCCGAGGTCCGAAATCGTGAGCGATTCCGAATCTCGGAAATTTTCAGATTTTAGATCATCAGTTTAAATTCACTAAGATAAAGAATGGGGAACACTGGGTCTTCACTTACTGTTTATGTTAAATAGTAAAATGCTAACCCCCAACTTGGCCGGCGACTGAGCCGGTAAAATTTTAGAATTTAGAGCAGCAAAAATTACAGATGGCAAAATTTTTAGAATTTAGGGCAATAGAAATTAAAGGCCGCAACATTTTTACAATTTATGGCGGTACACTGGCCAGCAGAATTCAAAGCCCGAAGAGATTGTACAAGGCAGGTGATAGGTGACAGCAAGGCCGGACACCCTGACGGCTTACAATGACTACTCGGGTGTTGTCCGGACCCGAAATTGTACGAGACTGCAAAATGATTAACATCGGGTTGCAATGAAATGCCTATATTGCCTCTCTCGCATAACCACTCAATGGCCCAAAGTTTGATCCTGGCCAATAAATAAATAATACAGTGTCACTGAACGTATTGTTTTGACTACGGTGTAACGCCATAGCCAGCAGGTGTTTGATTTGCAGGAATCTCAGTTTTAGCCGGGGGAAAAGTTAGTCGTTCATCTGCTTCCTTTCGTGTAATATTATATTCTCCATTCCTAGATTTTGTAAGGCCAATGCCAATGATTAAGTACTTCGAAGTACCTATGGTTCTAAACCATAGATCTCCACATCATAAAAATATCTAAGTAGTGAGCAGAAATAGGAAAATTGAATAAATAGTTAGTTTGATGCACGCTAGAGGGAGCCACATTAGCTTGAGAGTTTAGGTATAGGAAAAAAATTATAAGTTTTGATCTTTTTTGTATTTTTTTGGTTTTTATAATTTTTTGTATGTTTTAATTTTTTAAATTTTGGGGGGTATTTTATATTTTTATAACATAAATAAAAACAAAAAAGCAAAAAGTGGTGAAGAAAGATTTTACAGATAAAGAGGCTCACTGGCATATGGCGCTGTAAGGTAAAACTCTCTTTTGTTTTATTTACTTATTTATTTATTTTTTGGCTGGCAGTCTGTTTATTAGATCATTCCGCATATTGGACTCCGGATTTCGGACTTGTACTGTAATAATCTGATCTTTTCAAGTATTAGAAAGATGAAGAAGACTATTTCTTTGAATGTAAAGCAATTCAATATTCAGATTCAACCACATCCATCAAATACAAAAAAAGAAACAAATAAATAAATACTCAATAATAAACAATATTATACAAAAATAATTTTTTTGTGCATAGGAAGACATGCACATTTTTTAAATGAGTTCTTAACTAACTTAGATACAAAAAACAATTTAAAACATCCCCAGAAATGTAAGACTTCTCAAAGCCCCATATGTAACATAAATCAGCTCTCGGGAACTGTGGAAGACGTGTCAATCAATGTCAAGTCAATCATTTTTCCCCAATAAATTTAATGTTTGTTATATAAAAGCATGTTCTCATATTATTTGCATATTTACTCACTTGAAATAACGAAATTCTTAGGCGCACTTCAGCCATATCAGGTTTTATACAGTGGCAAAACAAATAAATCACTTCATTATCGAATTTTTTATGTATCTGATAAAACGAAAGCCGTAAAAAGTGATAAAATTCTTACAAATCTGATGCCTAGCATGATCAGTGAACCTAAAATTATAGTCACGGTTCCCAGAAGTTCGACACGATTCCGTGCGTAGGATGATTCATTCACCTGTCCGAACTCATACGATGAGATGGAAAGGCGGCTGATAGCGTTTAAATTGGTAACCAAAAAAGTCAATATAGAGGCAGTTCTCCAATATAGAATAAATCTTGAACGAAAACACTTCTTGACGGGATGTGTGTGTATATATATTATATATATTAATTTCATAATTCGTTTTGTGCAAATGAGTTTCTTCCCATCACGAATTTAGCTTTGCTTGCGATCGATCATAAAAGCAAGCGGAAGACGTCGTACAATGGCAGTGTTCTATGCTCTAGATGAGGGTTCCTAATGAGATCGATCAAATTTTAAAGGAGGTCAATGATGATCAAGAAGTCGATAGACAAATATGCAACGCAAATATGCATCGCAAGTTGATAGCCATTATCAAGATCCCATTGATTACGCAAATATTATTACCTGATAATTCATTATTTATTGATTTAAAGCTATACTATGATTATCTTCGGTTTTTATTCTAAAATGAACTTGTTTATATCGGCACCGAATCGAAAATAATTCCACTGTTTTAATAATTTAATTCATTATTGAAAAAGGATTGTATCTGCTCAGAAGATATATTGTTGTATACACGCCATTTGCAGAATTAAAAAAAGAAAAAAAAAAAAAAAAAGAAAGAAAGAAAGAAAGAAGAGAGAGAGAGAGAGAAATTTGAAAATTTGCCTTCCAAGACACTGACTACTTGATTGTACCAGCATAGCTCGAACCGCTGAAATGCGAGCCTTCTCATTACGATAGAGATGCAAAAAGAGTTAATTTGCTTTAAAGAAGGATGATACTGCGATATACTGTATTGTACTGGGTTTCTATTGCCGGAGCAATACTTCCCAGTCATGCAAGGAGTTCCATGCGGAGCCTGGTATTAGAAAATTCCTGATTGAGTTCCCTCTAAAGAAGGATGCTCAAAAGCACATGCCTTATTTAAAGCATATGGGTACGGTACGATTTGGAATTCAAAAGTCATCCGACATAAAATATATCCATAAATAAAAGCTGATACCAAACTAATATTAGTGACTTTTCTATCTTTTTATTATCATTAATTTATTGTTATCTTAAAAGTCATTTGTATCACGATCATAGAGACGGGGGTCAATAAAGCACACCACTCTTTTAAAAGAGTTGATGCGAGAAAAATGTTGGGAATCGATTCTCTATTTTTATTGGTCAGCCTTTTTTTTAAAGGGATACAAATTAATAATGAAGTTAAGATGTAAAAGCGCAAGTGATGAGAACTCCCCCCCCCTTCCATCCAGAAAAACTGACCAACAAACCACGGAAACAAAATATAGGAAAAGTCGCTTAAGATAGCCACTAGCAGATAGAATGATTAGTGATGCCGATTGCTGTATCGATGGGGGCCGGGTTCGAATCCCGGAGAAACATGTATCTCTCGATTGTACAATATCTGTGCAAAGAAAAGACTGATTTTCTAGCTTAGGAGTAACGCTATTGGATTACAAACAAATGTAAGCCTTTTTTCGTTTAGTATAGTGATGAATCGCTGATATGAAGAGTATTTATTACATGGAAATAAAAAAAAAACACAAATAGATAATATACCTCTGAAGTGGGCTCCTCCACCCGTAAATTAAAAATTTCTGAAAATAATAATAATAATAAACTATGTTCACGATTTTGCCTAACGCGAAAACTGTCCTTCGAACACGAAAGCTAGTTAAAAATCAAAGCAATATTGCCAACTTCAAATTTCATTTGTAGCTAAAGAGTATGGGTATAGATGCTAGTTCAAACAGACATTAAGTTTATAGCATCTTAAGAGAGATAGTGTAGTATAAAAGGAAAAAAGAATTATTCTGAAGGACCGTGAGTTGTTTATTCCATACTTCATTATGCAGAATAGCCTAAAGAAATATAAGGTTAGGTTTGGTTATTTAGATATGGCAGAACGAACAACAGCCCATTATTTTAAAGAATAGGCACTTCAGGGTCATTTTCAACTTACCCGTTATAACCATGGTAACGAAATGACAGCTGCGGCGGAAGGCTAATTGACCGCTAATTGATT